TGACACCATTATTTAGAAAAATCTTGTTTGAAAAGTTTGCAGCATTTTTTGTTCTTACTAGCTATAGACTTTAAAATACTGATAAATGAGCTCAATGTAGAACAGCAACATTTCAAAACCTTTGATGAACTCAAATTTACATGTACATGTAACAAAAGCAATATGCTGTAGTGTAGTCTATGGCTATGTGTAGACACCAACCACATCCTTGTGATCCTGTGTCTAAGGAATAATCTAATGGTACATTTGTAGTAACAAACTTCTGTGGAGCATGCCTCTTTGAAATTTACATGCTATGTTATGAAGGGGAAGAGATCCCTGCAACAGAGCTCTTTTGTACTCTCTGTAAAATCCAAGTACAGGAAGCGAAATAAACCGTAGGGATCAAGATCTGCGAGTATGGTTGACTTTTCTCCCAAAGAAACACACCTTGGTGTCTGTCTGAGGTTTAGTGAGTGTTTGAAAGCTGAAACTTCCCAACAGGCTGTGTTACAGTGTGACAATGATATATGTAGATTTCTAGCTTTGTAGCAGGTTTGTGGTCAGCCAAAAAAATAGATAAATCATGTATACTTGGAATATTGGGCCAGAGGGAAATAAACAACCTTAACTAGCATGTTAGAAAATAGATACAGATTTATGTGGAGTGTTGTGTGCTTTGTTGAGATTTAGTGAGGTGTGTAGAAGGATGTATTGTGTAATTGACAATGTTGATTGATAGCGTGCCTATCCAGGTTCATTCAAGTTTCTATACATGCTTGCCAATTAACCCTCCCAATTGGGATGGAGACTCCAGATTTTGGACACTAAAATTAAGCAATTTCAACAAGTGAATTTTCTTAACTGTGCCTATTTTCTAAGATCAGCTGATTGCATCTGTGAAAAGAGCTCAAAAGATACAATTTAAAAGAACTATTTTTTCCCTAGGGATATATACACACCTTTTATTTATGTTTTTAATTCTGAGCATGGGTAATGGAGATTACAAACAGTTGGCAAGTATGTCTATAAGGTATCCAAATCAAGCTTTTGTCTGACTAGTTTTCTATGACTGATTATTTTGAGAAATAAATTTAGAAAAAAAAAGAATAATAATGAATTAGAAAAAAAAATGGTTTCAAGCAATGTAGTACAGATTAGCCTTGGCCAGCTGCCTTGAGAGTATTGCTACTATAGTGCCTGCAGGCCTATGGAACGTGAGGTAAGCAGAGTGAGGTGGTGATGCAGAGTGAGGTGGTGCTATAGCCTGCTCCTGTACATTTGTGCCCCTCCCTCAGCAGCCTGTAAAAAATACCACACCTATTGATTTTGTATAAAGGATTGCATTGAAGGTACACATTACAGTTAGTTGTATCGCCACTCGCTGGCATAAACACTGGCGTTTACAAACCGAGTTATGATCGCCACCATTAATATCTTTTTATTGTAACAATAATTCATGTCACAGTAACAAGCGTAAGGCTTTGTGTGACTAGCCCGCCGATGTTGATGTTGATATTATTGCGGCATGCTGCTTCCGTACAGACAGACCACTGTTTGTCATCGTTTGATAGAGTTTTGTTTATGCCTGAGTTTGTAACCATTTGATGGAATTGTGATTACTCTCGACTGCCGCTGTGATCGTCACATCAATGCTATATAGCTTTCATAGGTGTCCAAACGCGATGCAGACGCGATGCTGCATCGTACCGTAGGTGTCCCTTTCAATTGGTTATGGATATATCGTACAGTATGACAAATTAGGGAAGTGGGGAACTATTACAACTTATGTATAATGGAAAGATGAGGCGATTATCGCAAAACCTCCTAAACCATTTAATGGTAAAAGTGTGAACGACATGGTATAATAAATTCATTTGATGCAAATATCTGGATTTACACCATAGATGTTACTTTGTCAGATCGGCAGAAAATGGTTTTGCCCTTTCAGATACAGCTGGTCATGTAAATATAGAGTACATATATGTGTGCTGAAAGTACTGTAAAAGGATATATGTGGTAAGTTCTGTGTCTGGGCTGGGATATAAGAACAGTCGGGTAATATGGTTAGTTGAGTCATCAGTTCTGTGAAGAGCCTAGAGTAGTACAAACACAAGTGTTGAAACTGAAAGGCATATGATCTGTCCTAAAGCTACAAACCTGTGTTCAGAATTTGAGGTGAGGGACAGCACCAGTCTAGAGCTATGATCACCCATGGCCAGATCAGGTTACAAACATCAATGATATTTGAAAGACTAAATTCTCTCCCAGTAGGAATACTTGAATTCATTATGGGGATTTTCCTTTTTAATAATGCAAAAATCAGAAAATTGTATGGAACATTATGATATTTGTGTACATTTTTTTTTTAATTTGTCTATCTAGAGACATCATAACATGGTACATGTGTAATAAGTGGAAAGTGACCAATTCCATGCATTTCAGTTTAAAAAGCATTTGTCTTACTTGCATTATATCAAGGTAAACATGTTTGTCTGCGGACTAAATGACCTAACAAGTTTAGTCAGATCATGAGAGCAAGATGTTTAGGTTCAGCCTTCCCTCAGTGTTTGTTGAAGTAATGGATTTAGGGAGGGGTCCCAGATAAATAGATAGGACTATCTTTTGGCTGTAAGTTTTTGCTTAAGTGTGCAACATGGATGCATGCATAAAAAGGCTTTTGAGCAATTCTGAGTATTTAAACAGGTTCTTAATGGTGAAATTTATCTCTATGCATCAAAGTTATGTTTTCAGGGATTCAATACTTCAGAATGTATAATGTTCTAGGGACCAAGACTTCATGCATAAACATGAAGTTATCACTGTGTACTAGAAGTTGAAAACTTCAGTTTGATAAATTCTTAAAAAGCCGAAAATGAAATCAGTTGTAAAATTTAGGGTGTATTAGAAATCAGAGTTGATGGATTGACTTGATGTTATTTGGTGTAATAACTGTGTAATTTACCTGTTCATGAATGGAATCGTTACCCGTCACAGGTATATATATACCAGGAGACCACAGGGCAGCAGGTGTAATTACAGGTGTATTTAGTAAGGTAATGTAGGTCTCCCATTCTAATTGTTAAATCAAGTACAATGGGAGACGTTTTTCATTTTGTATACCCCCGAAGTATTTCCCTTCACTCAAGTCATGTCCGTGAGATACCAAGACATGGGGAGTTGAACTGTCAAGTATTTTTCACACGAGCAACCCCGTCATAGATCATGACCAAATTGCATGTTGTAGCCCCATTGAAACGGGCAGCAATGACATGGCCAACATTTTATATAAAAACTAAAGGTAGTTAAGGGTGTTATCCTGTTACGTCCCATAATACTTGGAGTGTAGTTGTAGATAAGTATATTTCACAGATTTGAAATTTTACAAGTGTAATATAGCGTTAAATAATGTGAACGTAAATTTTGAAATGACATACACTTTGTCTAATAGAATCAATTGTTTCTAAACGTCTTGAAACAAGGTGAATTGCAAACTAATCAGGATCTACGATATACGTGCTCTTGACTTGTCCCTGGTGCGCTTTCGACACAAGTCCCTGTTGCAGATCGATGTTTCTCTGTTAGAACATCTCCTGCTGATACAGGGATTAATTTACCTCCTCTCTGCAGTGTGGCAGGATTTTGCACATTTTGTTACAAATCTTGGTTCATCCCTGCTATTACACTGTGTAAATGTCATCGCTGATGAAACTGTTTGTTTATTCAATTTCCAATCCTAAAAAAAATGATGAAATTGCAGAATCAGCACAGCCAGTTTGTGATGTGTTTGTATGGAGATTTACAAATTACCTATGGCTTGATTTGACAATGTAAGACTTCAATGTAACGATCAATCAGGCTTATTATATAATATAATTACACTGCAGAATACACCAGTATAAAGTCCTTTTAAAAACCAACACCGCAACCTGGGCACTGTATTCATCCTTCAGTAAGCCTATGGGGCTAACATATTTACTCTTACTTAAAGTAGAGGATGGGCTTTTAAGCTTATTGCAGAACAATGAAATAGCATTTGTTGGCATTTTTACATAAACTGCAACAGACATAGATGGGCTTATTTCTGAATAAATACAGTAGTATACAGAACTGGTTGCTGTTTTACTTTTCCGAGTAGTTGATCACACCTGGATGTATCCAGGTCTGATTTAACATTTTGTGACTGTTAGAGACCTATAGCGTTTGACACACTTATATTGCCATACATGTAAGCATTATATTGCAGATCCATATACATTTTAATTTGCCATACATGTAAGCATTATATTGCAGATCCATATACATTTTAATTTCTTTTCCAAACATTTGATTTGGGCTAGATGATAAAAGTCAAAATATATAACATGGTTGTAGTGTGAAATAGATCTGGCAGGGGGCATTTTGTGTTTAGGTATTTACATAATGGTACAAGGAAAGAAGATATTGAAAGCCTTCTATTGCATTAGGCCCTAGAAGCCTGCTGGTCGTTAACAGTGCTGAGTATGTAGGGGTGAAAGGGTTATAAAAACAAGGCCCTATTACAAAGAATGCAACAATAATGTTCATGTTTCTGTTGAGTCAACATTAGTCTGTGGACTTTGATCTCGGTGGAGATGAAAATGTTTGCAACAAAATTAATCACAAAAAGATAAATTTGAATCAACTCAACCTGTATACATATAGCTTCATCATACATGTTTGTATGTTAATTCTGTGAACCAAGGTCTTGTTTCCTTCCTACTTTTTGGAATAAATTTTAATATCTGAATGCAAAATCAGCTAAATTGAAATTTTTCAACCCATTCACCCCTGAAATTTCATGATGAACTATTCCAACATTTGAATTGGGAGAGTTAAAATGTGTCTTCAGGGGTGAATGAGATATAGGGATGACAAAACACAAATATTTAGAGACAGTACTGATTTAACAGGTGCTGCTTAAGGAATGTTGCATGCCATTTGAAGAACTTTGATATTTTGAAATTAATACACTAATAAAGAAAATAATTTGTTTTTTCCAGATTCCCTCCTGCAGACACGCCCCCTTCCAGATGCGCCCTCTATTGGTGATGTTCTCAACACAAAATGGATGTCCAAGGAGAATCTGTTAGCCAGTCAGAATGAGGATGATCCAAACCTCTTTGTTGCCCTCTACGACTTCCAGTCAGGGGGAGACAACCAGCTCAGTATTGTTAAAGGTAACTGTCCCTAGGAAGGTTAGAGGGTAATGTTTTACTTACAGTATAGGAGATCTAGAGGAAAAGGTTTTACTCACAGTGTAGGAGATCTAGAGGATAAGGTTTTACTCACAGTGTAGGAGATCTAGAGGATAAGGTTTTACTCACAGTATAGGAGATCTAGAGGATAAGGTTTTACTCACAGTGTAGGAGATCTAGAGGATAAGGTTTTACTCACAGTATAGGAGATCTAGAGGATAAGGTTTTACTCACAGTGTAGGAGATCTAGAGGATAAGGTTTTACTCACAGTATAGGAGATCTAGAGGATAAGATTTTACTCACAGTGTAGGAGATCTGAGGGTGATTTCTGAAGAGGATAACAATTTACTCATAGTCTAGAATGTATAAAGGTTTACAAATAGAATGTATTGTCTAGTGGAAGATACTGGTTACTCTAGAGGTGGATAAATAATTTTCTCAAGGCATATGAGATCTAGAGGTGGATAAATAATTTTCTGATAGTATATGATTGGATTGAAGACCATGATGTACTCATGGTGTATTCAGAGTTTGAGGAAGATAATGATTGACTCATGGTATGGAAGGTCTTATAGTGCAGGACAATGGTACATGATTTACTCAAGGTATAGAAAATGTACAGGATTATCTTAATGAGTATGATCATTTTCTACCAAACTGTAGCATATAAAAAATAAACTATTGATATGGTCAATGCATAAATTCTTCAGCTGAGGGTTAAATTTCCATATTCCCCTTACCTGCATAATGATTTTCCTCTTTCTCCCACCTCGTACCAGGTCTATAGAAAACAAATTACAGTGACATAAAACAAACTTAATAAACCAGAGGTTTACCTAAAAATAAACAAGTTTGCAAAAAGCTCCACAGCAAGCTTGTATAATAATTGTTTATCTCCGTGAGGCAATATCAGTCTCGGCACTAGGTGTTCTTTCACTGATCAAATTAAAATTTAATTATGTCATATAACCATCAGATGACACACAGTTTCAGAACATCATCAGCCAACAAGATACTGAATATTTTGAAACTCAACAAAATTTGCTTTTATGAACTTTCTAGTTAGGATTTACAATCAGCAATGAATAAACCCATAATTTCTACTTGAGTGTTCCACAGGGAATACACATGTCTTGCATGTGTAGAGGTGGGGAAAGGTAATCTACACTTAAAAGATCTAGGGGAGGTACGGTGTCGAAACAGAAAGTCATATAGCTCAGTTTTTCACAGGTCTACACATGGATTGGTAGGGAAATGAGAGACCAAACTGTAGCATATAAAAAATAAACTAAATAACATGTTGTGGAGCAAAGAGAATTCTAAATTAATTTCAAGTAAAAAAACAAAAAACGTGGATTTAAGTTATCTTTGGAATACCAATAGGTTTTATATGGTACAGTAATCAATACATATACTGGTACAGGTAATTAATGGAAGTCCTGTGCGTGTGACTTAATAGCAAATCTTACATCTCCTTTCCAGTAGCTATAAAAATGCATTTGGAACTCTGGTAACAAATCAGTCATGTGAGTAATTTTGAGATTTGGTAGGTTCAAACGAAGCTTAGCATCAACACTTCTCAATTACCTAGGCAGCGCGAGTTTGCAGATTTTATTATTCTCCAAAAGGTCACCATGCAATCATTTTGTTCAAAGTATTTCTAGTAGCAACCATAGATGTAACAACCAATTGGCGAACAATTTGCGACTTTCGTGGAAATTTGGTTTGATTTATGTGTCTCTCGTAAAATGATTATAAAATGACATCATGGAGACCAGTAAAATATCTATTTATAAATACAATACATACAGTTGAGGAGGAATGGTCATTATGGGTAACAAGTCGTATGTTTCATGGGTGCCTTTGGAATATTCAAAGACATTGCTCCCTTGTTGCTGGTTAATACCACGAGAACGGTTACCATTGGTCTAATGGCTTCTTCCCAGCACCTCAGGAATACAGTTTGGACGGTTTCAAAAACAACCATTAAAAACTATGTACTGTTGTTCATTTAGTGACCACTAAAAAACCCTTTCTAGATACAGATTATTTTAATGGTATGTTGCAAATTGTACTAAACAGGTAGTTCTGTAAGGATAATGACAATACAGTTCTGTAGCGATAATGACGATACAGGTAGTTCTGTAAGGATAATGACGATACAGTTCTGTAGGGATAATGACAATACAGGTAGTTCTGTAGCGATAATGACGATACAGGTAGTTCTGTAGGGATAATGATAATACAGGTAGTTCTGTAGGGATAATGATGATACAGGTAGTTCTGTAGGGATAATGATGATACAGGTAGTTCTGTAGCGATAATGACGATACAGGTAGTTCTGTAGCGATAATGACGATACAGGTAGTTCTGTAGCGATAATGACGATACAGGTAGTTCTGTAGGGATAATGATGATACAGGTAGTTCTGTAGGGATAATGATGATACAGGTAGTTCTGTAGCTAAAATGACGATACAGGTAGTTCTGTAGCGATAATGACGATACAGGTAGTTCTGTAGGGATAATGATGATACAGGTAGTTCTGTAGAGATACTGACGATACAGGTAGTTCTGTAGCGATAATGACGATACAGGTAGTTCTGTAGGGATAATGACGATACAGGTATTTCTGCAGGGATAATGACGATACAGGTAGTTCTGTAGGGATAATGACGATACAGGTAGTTCTGTAGGGATAATGATGATACAGGTAGTTCTGTAGAGATACTGACGATACAGGTAGTTCTGTAGCAATAATGACGATACAGGTAGTTCTGTAGGGATAATGACGATACAGGTAGTTCTGCAGGGATAATGACGATACAGGTAGTTCTGTAGGAATAATGACGATACAGTTCTGTAGCGATAATGACGATACAGGTAGTTCTGTAGCGATAATGACGATACAGGTAGTTCTGTAGGGATAATGACGATACAGTTCTGTAGCAATAATGATGATACAGGTAGTTCTGTAGCAATAATGACGATACAGGTAGTTCTGTAGTGATAATGACTATACAGGTAGTTCTGTGGTGATAATGACGATACAGGTAGTTCTGTGGGGATAATGACGATACAGGTAGTTCTGTAGCTATAATGACGATACAGGTAGTTCTGTATGTTACTTGTCATAACTATTGTATGCTGCCTACTGAAAGAAATGTCAGGAGCAACTATTCCTGTCTTAGTGTCATATATTATACAGATATTAACAAGTTTAGAAATATACACATATGCATAAAGGGTTTTAGTTTGCAATATATCAAGAAAAAGGATGTGATGCAGTGTTGATTAGGACTTCCATATCAGAAATGTTATCAACTCTTTATCACAGGGCATTTACTGGTACAGACCCATGGATTTCTTGACCAAGTTCAATCCCCCAGCCAGACCATGCATAATTAATGTAGCTACTCCAATTGATTGCTGGATATTGTTTTATGCAATGAAATATTTAAATCTTTTTGGATTTGCATAGAAGATGGCTGTAGTTGTGTAGTTGTAGGATTTATTGACTGTGTTTCAAGATGCAACAAGGAGAGAGAAAGTAAATAATTCTGAAAATGTTGTATCTGTAGCGTAGCCTTGGAAAGGAAGAAAATAGTCATGAAATAAATGCAGGAACAATGTGGTATTTTGTGTAACCGTGCTATTTTGAAGGAAGTTTGGAAATTAATCAAGGAAGAACATACAGGACAGAAAGAAACGCTTCTGTGTGTCTGTGTAGGATGTAGGTTAGAAACCTTTGTTTGGAATATCTTTGAATGTAGTCAACAAAAAGTGTGTTCCTTTCTGTGAAACAATGCAATTGGATGATGGATGAAAAGGCATTTATTCTTTGAAAATCAGTGAAATGTCTATCTGTGCTGTGAAATTAAATAGGAGTCCGGTGTCTTAAGACCATCAATTAAGAATGGATATTGATTACGATAAAATGGACAGAATGTGTCCTCTAACCTTGGAAACAGTGACAGCATTAACGACCTGACAGTGGATGTTAATGTAACAGTGGCACTCAGGGTTAACCACGTGGCTAGTTAAAAACTGACAGACATCAGAGCTTGACCATGGGTTTGATGTTTTCAGATAAAAGTATATATTGTTTCATCAAGCTTATTTGCATATTGGTAGAAAAGTTTATAAGATTAGTAGGCCAGTTTAATACCTAACAGTTAACCCAAATGTTTAGTTTATTGTGTGAAGTGGAATATTGTGATCAGTATCTTTGATTTATTGTGTTTGTTATTGCTTGTATGAAAATCAATTGACTGCTGGAGTTTGATTGCTCCCCTTGACTCTTAGAGCACTTTTCTCCCTAAACTGTTAGGGTTGATGATGCATGGACTGCAAGAGTTGATTATCTCCCTTGTCTGTTTGAATGAGGTATTTCCATTGACTTTCTCACTTAGTTGTTAGAGCTTTATATGATCTCTTGACTCCAAGAGTTGCAAATTCCACTTATTTGATCAAATATTATTATCTCCATTGACTCTTAAAGCTAATTAAGTTCTTTTACTGCTAGAGTCATCTCCCTTGAAAGTTCAATCTGATTAATCTCAATTTAATTTGACTGTTACATCTCCCTAATGACAGATTTTTCTTTCCCTTGAATGTTAGAGGGTATTATATCCCATGACTGCTTGTGTTGTTCCTCCCACTTTAATTCACTTTTACATACCTGCCAACCCAAGATATACTAAAAGAGGGTGATGACCCTCTTTTTAAAATAAAAAAAGAGGGTCATAGCGTGCGACGGCTTTTTTTCGCAAGAAATATAAGAAAAATAGATACCAAATTATAACTAAACTATTTTAATGATGTAAAAGTTACATTCTACATTCATTGAACTGTTCTTCCAGCAGATCTAGCTGATCCTCATCCACAATACCAAATTCAAAGCTGAAAAATAAAAAGATTTGTCAACAACACCTTATAAAATTAATTCATAATAATATATATGATACTGTGTTTTCACAGACATTTTTTATGTCAATTGAAATGGTCCTGACAATAAGATGTCACATTCTGCTCATATAAAATACCATTTTGTTTCTGTCAATGAAAATGGTCCTGACAATAAGAAGTTGTACCCTTCTCATATAAAATATCAGTTTTATACGAGTAGGGTTTGAACTCTGATTGTTAGGATCATTTTGATTGACAGAAACAAATCATTAAATGCCTGTGCATGTTTTTGACTAGTGTGCAGAATGCAGCGTTTGGTCCACGATCGCGGGACTTTATACACTATAACTCATTTTCCTACGACATTTGATACACACAATCTTTTCTTTTAGCATTTCGTGAAGTAGAACCTGCAAGTCCCGATAATGACTTCTTTCTTCAAGAAGACATAACGTTACCTTCAAAATACGATCTATTCTACGTAAATACAATTGTAAAAACAACTCAATTATTCGTTAAAACACCTGACTAATTACTTGAAGGCAAGTTCAGTAACAANTGCATGGACTGCAAGAGTTGATTATCTCCCTTGTCTGTTTGAATGAAGTATTTCCATTGACTTTCTCACTTAGTTGTTAGAGCTTTATATGATCTCTTGACTCCAAGAGTTGCAAATTCCACTTATTTGATCAAATATTATTATCTCCCTTGACTCTTAAAGCTAAATAAGTTCTTTTTACTGCTAGAGTCATCTCCCTTGAAAGTTCAATCTGATTAATCTCAATTGAATTTGACTGTTACATCTCCCTAATGACAGATTTTTCTTTCCCTTGAATTTTAGAGGGTATTATATCCCATGACTGCTTGTGTTGTTCCTCCCACTTTAATTCACTTTTATAGCTGTACATTGTCAAAGAACCTTCATCTTTCTCCTGTATGTTGTATTAGTGGTAGTCTTATGTGTGAATTGAAAGCTTGGAAGTGTTGAATTTTTGCTCTGCCTATGATAAATCTATCGTGAACGTATCGTTATCTGAAGATCTTGACTTAAGTCTACATTTGCATCTCGTTGAAAAGTCATTTATTTCGTTTACTTCTTGTTTTTGTTCCATGTACATATTTTTTTAATTTTATTTTTTAAATATTCAGTGTTGCTTGTTGATCTTGTTGTTGTACCTCTACTGCTCTTGGTTGTTATCTCTGTAAATCTGCCATTCTTTAATCTTTAGTTGCCTACCGTGTATCTTGTGTGTATGTTTTGATAACTTTATACAACGCATATAGATATATATCAGGCAGAAATTATCATCGACATGAATATTCTGCTTAGTTGGTGGAATTACATTGATACTACATTGTATTGCAATGTTTTTTTTATCTAATTCAAATCTATTTGGGATGCCACTAATAAATAGTCTACTGTAAATGATCAGAAGAATATGTTGGACACGTTTTTCATTCAGAAGAATTGTGATGAAGATGTTGGCTGAATTATTAGATATTTTACAAGTTGTTTGACTTTCTGAGATATGCATTGTGGTACCGGTAATTATGTTTGTGTTTACAAATTGTTATAATGTAAGTAAAGTTTGAAGTTGCTATTCAATATTAATAGGTCTAGTTTTGATGTTGTTTGGTATGGTTTAAGACGTTTCTTCATTTTTTTTCACTGTTACTCTTAGCTTATTGATGTAAAATTCCTTGTTGTTTTGTAGTTATCTGTTCCCTTTATTTCGAGTAGCTTATAGTGGTAAGTGTCTGCATTTTGCACGTTGGCATGATGCATGTAGATGTTTTGACAAAGGGCAAACTTGAGACTAGAATAAGTATATATCTAACTCTCAGATGTCATAACTGCAGGTGAACAGGTGACCATCCTGGGCTATAACAAGGGAGGCGAGTGGTGCGAGGTCAAAAACAAGGCCGGGGACATCGGCTGGGTGCCTAGCAACTACATCGCGCCGGTCAACAGCCTTGATAAGTTTTCCTGGTACCATGGACAGATTTCTCGGAACGCATCGGAGTACCTGCTCAGTAGTGGCATCAATGGAAGCTTCCTGGTCCGGGAGAGTGAGAGCAGCCCGGGTCAAAGGTCGATATCAGTCAGGTTTGAGGGAAGGGTCTACCATTACAGGATCAGCGAGGATTCCGATGGAAAGGTTAATTTTCATACCAATCTAAAAAAATACATGTACATTGTAAAGTGTTTTAGCTCCAAAGTTGGTTGCATTGCATGAATGGTTTTGAAAAAACGGATTTAAGTATCTTCAATGATAAATCTATATGTTGGTCACTAACAAACATTCTGTGTTCACTGTTATAGCTCTGAGTATGGCAAATTGTATATATGGTCCTTATTTATCAACAAAATTTAAATCTAGAGATTGCATGAACTTTGTTGATAGAAAAAGATATGACAAAACATGACACATCATTTTGATTGGGTACATAACTTCATCCTTAGCAAAGTCCAAGATTTATGTTGGTTGTGAGAAAACAGGACATGGGATACTTGCTTCTGATTAAAGGAAATAAACACAATTATAGCGATATTTTTTTTTATAATAATCAAATTTATTTGCTGTGTATGCAGCAGTTGAAGAGATTAGATGTACAGAGATGAGGTGTCAGTTTTCATTGAGAAATTAAACTGGCCATAATTGATTTGGAAAATGATACCATGGAAACTTCATAACTCTGTTTCAGCAGTATTGATTGAACAGTCAACTACAATTCTCCATGTTGTGAAACCAATTAATTTTGTGAAACCAGACTGATATGAAAAAATTATCGTTGATTGTCACAGAATGGAATTGACGTGGTTAAGCTGTAAGGGGCACATCGGCCTGTCAGATATCGTTTGTTATTCCTGGTTATGAAGATCATCTCCTGAAATGTTTAATGTTAGAGCATGCTGAATCAGCTGCTGGTTCTAGTTTGTTAAACAAACAAATCAAAAATGGAATTACTGAAATATCATTTCAGACTAAATGGAAATAGTGGTGATTGATTGTGAAGTATTATAGTTATGTATAGTATGAATGAAAGATACTGTAATATGGGACATTTTATTCATAAAAACAGATTTTCTAAAGAAATTACAAGATAGTAAGTTAACCCCAGTTATCTTTATCCTTGAAAACCCTAGTGTCTAGACTGAAACAGACTTTAATTAATTACGAGATTTTGTGTGTGTGTGACAGGTGTTTGTGACTCAGGAGCACCGCTTTAACACGCTGGCAGAACTTGTCCACCACCACTCCATACACTCGGATGGCCTGGTCACCACGCTGCTATACCCTGCCCCAAAACGCACCAAACCCACAGTGTTCGGCCTTAGCCCCGAGCCTGACCGATGGGAAATCGAACGCACGGAAATTGCCATGAAACACAGGCTAGGTATTGGTTGACATAGTAATAATTATGAGTAACAATACACAACATTAAACAAATTTACAGTACAGGTGGTAAGCCCATTATCAAAAAATAAGCCCACTTCCTTCAAAAAAGATTTAAAGAGATGATGATGATACCTTGTAATAAGTCCACCCTTCTCTTCAAGGGTCAAATTGGGAAATGAGTTTTACTCCTTTTAAATATTCTTTCCAAAGACAAGGCCCCCTGTACTTATTACAGGCAAGGTAAAATCCTTTCTAGTATAAGTGTCCAATTTCTGTCAGATAGGTTGATTGAATATTAAGATATTACATTGAGCCACTGATACAGATATGACAATTGTAGAAGTTGTATGCAACACACATGCTACTGAAATATGTAGTATTGTTTATTTAACTTGTTAAATAGACTTCAGTTGTAGTGAGGTGATAATCATATCCTGAACACAGAAATGTTGATATTTTCCCCATATTTGGAGGGAAAGATAAGGATATCCATAGGAGAATATTAAGGTGGAAGATAAATCTGTGTGCATCACATAATCACAATTTGATGACATTGTCAAAAACTCATATGACGTAATGCAGTTGTAACTTCAGTGCTTATTTCTTATTATAAAAAAAATCAATATACCAAATTACAACATTTTAACGATTGACTTTTAATTGTGATCTTGACCTTGAAATGAGAATAATGAAATGCTAAGAAATCATGTCTTATCATGTTGACCAACATATACCTCTGGTATACTTATTGGATTTCATGAGACTGCCAGAACCAATTGTTTAAGTGCAGATGGCTAATTCTATTCAACTCTATCCTGTTATTTCGGAAGATAGTTTTAAAGGGTAAGATAAAAATACTTCATTAGACATTTCTTTGCTCTGTTATTTATACCTTTCAGTATGAGAGAGCAGGGTGAATTTCTATAATTAATGGATGGTTATAGGTAGAAACTAACAAGCCTACAGGAACCACTCTACTTCTGGATTACGACTACACATTGAGAATTTATGGTCTTTCTGAGAGAATTTACTTTTTTTTCATGTTTAAAGATCTCTTGTCACCTGTCTCCAATTAAGACACTTTTCACTTCCTGTCTAAAAGTTGGATCGTGAGAAACGAATAAAAGTTCTTAATAATATTTCATATGTTTTTGTCAGGCGGAGGTCAGTATGGCGATGTATATGAGGCAATTTGGAAGCGCTACAACAAAACTGTTGCTGTTAAAACTCTCAAGGTAAGAAATACACACTGGTTGAATTAATCTATATACAACAGTTATACTTTTTATACCCAGCACCAAGTTGCAGGGTATTATGTAATCCTGTTTGTGGGCGGCAGGCACAGTCACTTCCAGACGATATCTTTTCATTGCATTATCTGATCAACTTCAAACATAACACGTTTAAAGCTTCTGGCTAGAGAAAGGTGCATTTATCTTCAAGGTCAAAAATCAAGGTCGCAAGAGAAGGATATAGAAAATTTGTTGCTGGATGATAAATCTGTATTGCCAGATTTGATCAACTTTAAACTTAGCACAGGTAAACTTTATAGCCAGAGGAGGGTACCTTTTGTTTAGGGTCAAAGGTCAGGTCACCAGATCAGAAGCAGGTCGAGACACTAACTAGTTTTGCTTAGAATTGGTGGATTGTAGACTAGTCCTACATGAGTGTTACAGTACTAGCTATACATACTCCATGTTTTACCGAAGGTTATGTCCCAGGTGTAAAATAGTACAAGTAATGATAAACTGTAGGTTGGAGGGGGGGATTATTGGCAGGGAATTATACCGTATTTTTGTGGCTCTTGTTATTTTACAGATTAGTGATATTTACAGATATATTATCAAGTTTAAGATCAGTCTTTTTGAATTGTAACTTTTTGATTGCAGGAAGACACAATGGCCCTGAAGGATTTCCTGGAGGAGGCCTGTATCATGAAAGAAATGAAGCATCCTAACCTTGTACAGCTGCTGGGTAAGAACTAACAGTAAACCCGTAAACCTATCAAACACATGCTGCTGGAACCATAACACTTTGTACCAACAAATTAACAACTAGTGCAATATTCACCCTTTTCCAGTAAAATTTGTATTTGTTCAGTAAGTTCCACCCTTCATACTGAAAAAAAAGTGTTTAAAAGCTAAACTAGGACAATGTTTCCTGGTGTAGTGATCTGCTGCACTCGCCCATTTAGTCAAAGCAGTCATTCCTTGATAACCAGAAGTTGTTTTCATTCTTTGTCAGATACTCTAATAACCTCATATTTTCATAGACTAACACATTTATACAAATGTAAATCAAATGACAATATCATCATTTGTTTTTACTTCAACCAAAACCATAGATGATGTGTTTAAGACAATCACAGGAAAGCATACAGCTCACTGCTTGTGTTAGTCAAATCCCATCTATGATTCTATGTTTTGTTTGTGGTACCTGTAAATTAATCTGGAAAATTATCCTTTCTCTCATTGATGCAGGATTTCTATGTATTAAATCAATGATATGTTTCTTGTCTTGAATGGAGTGCAGCCCGTTGATTGTGTTGTGTTCTTTGTCATTCTGACAGGTGTATGTACGAGAGAACCACCGTTCTATATAGTAACAGAATTCATGACACACGGTAACCTGCTCGACTTCCTACGTGGGTCACCAAAGGGGGAGGTGGGGGCCACCATACTCATGCACATGGCCACCCAAATAGCATCAGGCATGGCGTATTTAGAGACCCGGATGTTTATCCACAGGTAAGCGGAACAGCGGTACACGGTGTACACAAGCTTTCATACTAAATGGAGTTGGTAGTCCGTGCTCAAGTGTCTTCACTACAGCAACTTTGTCAGGTCTGTTTACACACCAGATGTAGAAATGTTATCATCTGAAGACAGGAAAGAAATACATTTATAGCTAATGTAAAATTAGACTTGATTATTTACACTAGATAAGGTAGGTTACAGTATACATTGTCTTGTACTAACAGGTGAATTGTTCAGAGACAGTTGCTAGAAATGTAACTTATATTAAGGCGAGATATCAACTTTTGTCAGAGATTTATCAGAGCTCAGTACAACTTGTTTTACCTCAGGGACTTTTTGTGACATTAGCCTGACATGGCATTGTATGTTTTACAACAAGGACTTATAACACGGGGACTTCTTATTAAATTGTGACATTAATGTAACTGTTTGACCACAGGGATCTAGCGGCCAGGAACTGTCTGGTAGGAGAAAATCATCTAGTCAAAGTGGCAGACTTTGGGCTGGCCAGGCTGATGAAGGATGATACCTACACAGCTCATGCTGGTGCCAAATTCCCCATCAAGTGGACAGCTCCCGAGGGACTGGCCTTCAACCGTTTCTCTACCAAGTCAGATGTGTGGGGTAGGTCAGATAGGGCAGGTCCTACTTGGCACATCATGTTCAGATAAACAATGAACCTAAAGATCATTTCTGTGTCTTATGTGTATAATATATGTATCAATTTATTAAAATTTTGGAGTTCTCCTTATGTTTAGAGTTAATAAGAAAATAGAATCTGTGTAATTGATGTTTCAAACTAGGATTTTGGTTTCTTAAAAATGTTTGAAAGCTGATCTAATAGTTGGGTTAATTACCCATGTATTCTTGTCTAGTGACTTGTGTTTACCCATCTAACTGATATCCTTTGTTTGTATTCAGCATTTGGGGTTTTGCTGTGGGAGCTGGCTACCTATGGCATGTCGCCCTACCCCGGTGTAGAGCTCACAGAAGTCTATCATCTCCTGGAGCGGGGCTACAGGATGGACCGGCCTGCTGGGTGTCCAGCAAACGTCTATGAACTAATGATGAGATGTAAGCGCTAAAACGGTGGTGTGAAACCTCCACATCATATCTGATGATGTGTCCCGAGTCTAATGCTCAATTGATGTATTTTCGCAGACACATTTGTGGTATAGCAAATGCAAAATGTACCATACAAATAACAGGATATTTTCACAATTCTCAGTTGTACTATTTAATTTATATTTTCAAGAATAATATGAAGGTGAGATATAACCTGTAACAATTGCTCTACCGCTATTGGTATAAATACCAAAGTGGATATATATACAGGTTTATTTATTGTAGTTCCCTAATCATTGACAATGTCACTTTTTATCATTACAGGTTGGCATTGGGACCCAAAGGATCGACCTACATTCAAGGATATCCATAACTCATTAGAACATATGTTTGAGAAGTCCAGTGTTAGTGAAGGTGAGATAGGGTAGATTGAAAAGAACATTCTTTGTACTGATCTTGGTGTAGCTATCAATGTAGTGTACTGAGACAGGAAGAAATTGGAAATGACACAGGTCTTGGTTCAATTTATCTATGAAATCTACTGATACAAGTTCGAATTTTGGAAGGGCATTAATATTTGATATTGTACTGGTTTATCATACTGACATAGTGATCCCCTCTTCAATTGAATGTATGTGTTTTTCATTCACCGTGAAGGATGTTTTTCCATTCACCATGAAGGATGTTTTTTCATTCACCGTGAAGGATGTTTTTCACTAACAGGTGACCAGAGTAAAAAAGTGATGTCACAAATCCTCAACGGTGTGGTTTCTCACAGACTGACATTGCCAGTGTGATTTCACCACCAAGCATCTACATCTATATCAAGATAGCACATTTATCAATTAACAGTGCTGAGAACGCACAGATTTTACTTTAGAATTTTTATGTAGAGATCAGATTATCAAAAAGTGCCTTGATATACTGACACGGCTTTGAAATGATCGTATGCTTGCCCTGTCTGTTACAGAGGTAGAGAAGGAGTTGGAGAAAAATGACACCAAGCGTGTGCCCTCCAAGAAAGGTCGCCAGCCCCCTAGTATGGATGGCAGCGAGCACCTGGAGGGACGCATCAGCGCAGGTAAGACAACACCCCACTCGACACGACTTCATTGATAATTCACTTACATGTATTTGTTGTAGTTATTTACCATTGTTTTCCTGTAAAATTCAGCAAATATCTTTATAATTTACATGCTGTTAATCACTGGTATATTACATCAAAGTTTCTGTTCTCTCATGGAAAGTCTTCATAAGCAGGTTTGAATGTTGTTGTTAAGTTTTTTTTCTTATTATAAAAGTCACAAATTTTATTTACAAATGGAAAATGACAGCTGTATAGTGAATTACAGAGTTTATATAAACTGACTTAGAATAGTTTATTTATTCTATGTTGTTTTCCTTAGGTCCGACACCCCCTGCAGGCAGGCGTGTGTTGCCTCCCATGGAGGACACCGAGCTGACGCTACGACAAGCCAGCAAATCTTTGTCTAAAGCACGCAAAAAGGCGGGACCAGCTCCCGCCCCACCACGAAGAACTACTTCATGTAAAGACACGCCTGAAAATCCCAAAGATATGGAGAATGAACTCAAGGCTAAAATGAAACTGCAGAAAGCTAAGATAGAAAGTTCAACTCTTGTGGAACAGTATGATGAAAATGAGACTCTAGAAAGGGATTCGTCCACCGGAGACTTCACTCCGATGATGGTAACACTTCAGCCGTCAAAACGGTTTGAATTAGGTTCGCCAAAAACTTTTCAAAGGATGGATTCTAAGGAAGCTTTGAAGGAAAATAGAATGGAGGATAGTGGCATTTCACAGAGTAGTACTGAGAGTCTAAAGCGAGCACAGATTGATAAATCAAAATACTTGATCAATACAGATAGTGCGGTCAAGTCTGGCCACTTTGAACATTCGCAAGAGCGGAGTAGTGGTAGGAAGTTTTCACTGCCTTACCACCGCGAAACTGTACGGCAATCCGACCTAGAAAGTAAAAAAGTTGACCAGGGGACTAGTACTTTTGAGGAAGGTACAGACGCAACACCTTTAGTAACATATAAAGGTAAACAATATCCCAAAAAGGCCCTGCCTCTCCCACAACAGGCACTGGGCTTTCCACGTAGAAAATACTCAAGTGAAAATGTGCAACGATTCGAGTCTGCCCAGTTGATACGAGGGCGCGGCTCGCTGGATGCTGAGAGTGAAAGTGTAACCATAGGGAAATTAGATGTGGATAACGTTACTAAAGCCATCAGTAGATACGGAACCATTCCAAAGGGACGTAGAATTGAAGCTTACCTAGCATCAATGGAGAGTGGAACCGAGAGAAATCCAGTCCAGGAGCTTCCCCAAGTAGAGGACCACGATTCTGGAACGGACACTGCCAGCATTTCCTCATGCCCGGTGCTCCTACCTGAGAATTCAGGAGCCAAGGCGGTGCCCAGTGCTGAAGCAACCATCATCAAACCTGAACCCAATGTAAAACCTTCAGCTTTTGTAAAATCACAATCACAACACACAATTGTGGAGAACTCCGCATCTCACCACGGAGCTCTTCTTCAGAGACATAAATCTGATCTGACGCACGGTGCCATGCCAATCACTATTGACCCCACACAACCCCCAAAACATTACTCTGACCCCAAGCCTAAACCTAGCCCCCGACTGTCTCGCATGTTCTCAGACCATGGTGAGGCTAATAGCCACGAGGGCCATGAGCCACTTTCGTCTGTACCAACTCCAGTGTACAAGTCCCTGGGAGGGGCAAACCTTGACTACAGTCCTGGTAGTACCACAGACTCTACCGTTATAGAAAGTCCGGAATCTGTTGAAGCTCGACTCAAACATGGAGGTGAGAACAAAGTTCAACCTCTGCGACCCCAGTTTACCCACAAGTCACGTTCTGCATCGACAGGGGACTATCCACGTGCAGAGGACATCACACCAGATGAAAACCAATGGGCAAGTGTTAATGCAGCAATGCAACAGCACATGCAAATAGCTCAAAACCAGCTAGAGGATAAAAAAGGTGCCTCTTTCTTATCTAAAGTTGCCATGTTTCAGTCACAGGGACCAGGGTCTAGTGAGTTCAGTTCCTTCAAACCTTTCACACGCGGGGAAGGTGGGAGGGAATCACTGAGGGATGACAAATCAACAAGTAGCACCAAATCGGACATGGTTATAAGAAAAAGTGATCCTCGTGTAGAAATGCAACCATACAAGCCGACAGCTAGTAAGGATGACAATATATACAAACCTGTATTACCAAAGATGGCGGCATCATCAGGTGGGATGAACCCACTTATGTCCAAGTCTATGATTGATACCCTAGATACTGTACCAGAGAGCTACTTACATGGACAGAGCTCCGATTCAGACACACCAAAGGTTTCTCGTGAAACAATTTTAGACACATCTGGTAATTTAAAGAGCTGTATCGATTCCTTATTAGCAACTGGAAATAAATCTAGCACTAATTTCATGGTTTTATCGGAACAAGTTCTAAATTTCCATGAGCAATGTTCACATTTTATTGACTCTCTGCCTCCGCATGCAAAGTTCCACGCTCGAGAGCTTTTGTCACGCCTGCAGTCACATAGTGAAAATCTGAAAAAATTCAGTAGCACTAACCCAGGTGGAGGTGGTAAACTTATCAGTGATATCAAATTGACTGTTCAGGAAGTAATTGATCTTATACAAAGGTGAAAAGTGATGTTTCCATTTCTGAAGAAGAAGAAGAAGAAGAAATAAGAAAAATTGGCCGAGGTATATGGATTAGCTTAAAGTCTACTTAAGTTTAATTTTTTCTCAAGAAATTGGGACCATGTTGTGTTCTTGGCATTTGATAGATCTTAAAACCGAAGTGAAAGTCTATGTGATCCGATGCAAGTACTGTATCTTACCAAGTATTTCATTCATAAATACAAGGGTTATCAATCTTTCATGGATGTGAAATATAAGATGCTGCAAGAGTCATTGATTGTTCAAAGGTGAAAAGTCTTGGGTCTGCATACATTTAGAGGTGAAAGGTCAAATGAAGTGAAAGGTGGAACTCCAGGCATTACCTGTGTTGGGCACTATGTACCAAGTTGTTGTGAGTTAGGTACAGATCAGAGATCTAGAAGACTAGTATTGTATTTGTGTATGACATGTTTCTGTACTAGTTATTTGCAAGTCATCAATAGTATATTACTGCTCATACTGAGCAAGGTATTTATTGTCATTTTTGTTTGTTTTGTAGAAAGATCAAAATCCATTTTATGACTCGTGCAACAGGTTCTTTTTTCCATGAAATTCCAGCCTTATTAAAACAAAACTTGATTAACAGAATTTATGATCTGTCATGTTCGTTAAATCATCCCCATCAAGTGTTTTGTGTAACATCATGTGGCGTATGTTGTGGTTCCTACAGGAAGTCTAGATGGTCAATGAGAAAAAAGTCTTCAGTTAACAGTTTCACAGCAAAAATATCTGAAGATCATTCTTTCTACAAACTTATTGCCAAACATGTGTTACCAGGTATGAATCGCGTGAACTCGTGAAAGCTGCACTTAACAGCGTACTTTGTAATTCTGTAAACTTAGACTTTTTTCACTGGTTAATTTTGCGATTTCACTCGCAGCACGGTTGATGTTAATGAAGCTTTCATGAGATACAATTACGATACATGCATACATATAGTGAGCTCTCATTTTATGCATGAGAGAAAAATTAACATGGAATCATCAATGGTGCATGAGAAGCGCAAATTGTACGACACGTAAAATTCTACATTAACAGTATTTTAAGTGAGGGTTTAAATTTTGCAAATGCATTGAAGTTTGCTAAAATGTGTACTTCATTATTAATTGGGATGGTTGCTAGTTTTTATAATCATGTACTGATGAGTCATGAAAATCAAATCTGAGGTATTATGGTAATGTTATCACTACAATAAGGTTGTTTTGAAGTGCTTTCCAATTTTTAATGACAGCTTCATATAACAATTTACATAAAAGGTCAAGGTTGTATTGGTATAAATCCTATAGTATGTCAATATTTAAGACAAGAGTGATACTTGTTTAAAGCTGAAAATGTGGAAATTAATTCCTTTTGTTTGGCATTTTCCTAACATAGGCAGAGATGTTATCAAGTACCAGTAATACCAATTACGCATTCTGATGAATTTGTGAAATCAAAAATTCAGTATCAAGATATTACTTGTTCATACTACCACGTTTGCTTGTTCCAGAATATTTCTAAATAATTTGTCTTGTCAATCCCTTCTTACTGCCTTCTCATATATAGATATTCAATCATTATGTGATATCTAGACAAGAGCTTTGTGATGGTACCGGTATGGTACAGACTTAAATGTATGTGGGTGTAGGTTGTCTCCCCTTAATTTAACTAACGGTACTTTTTACAAAATTTGACACATAAATGTGTTTAAGGTGTACATATGACTCGGCTTCAGTCTGTAAGGAAAACCCAGTTTGCAAATAATGCAGGACAGTCAGATTTTACAATAATCCCAGTTAAAATACAAAAATAATAAAACAAGTGTTTTAACATTACATTATGTTTGTACACAAAAGATAAACTTCCAATTCCAAAATAGAACAAAACATCAGATATTAATATTGGACTAAGTACCTGTTTGTAAACATTCCAAAAGGTTTTCCTTAATGAATGCAGCCCTGATCATGGCAAGGATTTGTAGGTGTAGGTTGTCTCCCCTTAACATCAATAACTGATAATCTATGGACACTTGTGTATGTTTTGTGTACATGCAGAGGTCTTAGCTTGTTAGATTATTATACTTCAGAACAAGACTAAAACGGTGAAACCTGTCCAATCCGATATCTTGTTATTCTGACATCCTGTTTTATCCCATTCTTATGAAAACTACCAAATTACAAACTGACATGCTGTCTGATTTATTGTGACCCGAAAGGAGTCAGATTAGAGAGGTTTCACCACCCGTTTTAAATGTTTTTAAGTGCTTATCACAGGTTGAGTGTCTCACCCGAACTTCTGTGTAATGACCACACCTCTACAACAATTGTGTTCACCCTTGTTAAGGACACAGAAACAGTGTCTTATGTATACCAGTTAGTACACTGTTATACTGCTGAAAAAATCACCCGGTTGAGTCCTATCTACCTAAGTTTATACAATCAATTACTATTGATATAAATGAGAACAAGTTTATAATCCCTAAGTTGTAAGGTGTCTTAAGGTCAAGGTCAGTTAATGTAGAATATAGAAAACTTCATGTTACAGGAGCCTACTTAATTTACAGAAGTTAAGGTAAGGCGTTTGTTTCTTTTTCCATTGTTATAATTTGAGTATCTATTAATACACTCTTGGACATATCTTACAAACTTTCAATCACGTTAGTTTCCTCATTGACAGATTTAAGAACTGAAGTGTAAGTTGGGTTGAGGGCAAACATTGAAGCTCACTACCTCATTAGTGTAGTATGTGGAATAACTTATCGTTCTGATCATCATAATCTTTCAGGATCAGAAACTTCCCATGTACTCTATTTCAAATATATATATATATCTGTATTGCGAACAACTTCGGGCATAGAAGCCTTTTTCTTAATTCTTCTTTTACAGTCAGATTTAAAGTGGTAGATATATTAAATACAATTTACTGAAACATTATAGGGTTATCTGTAAAGATCTGTCAACTTTTATTTGTTTTCCTTAATGTGTATGGTTGGAGAGAGAGTGTAACGTGGGAGAGTTTGTATACAGGCAGGGAGCTCTTGAGGAGTTATCGCCCCTGTCTGTATTTTTGTACAATCAGTTATCGTGTCTTTCTATGTCTAGTCCAGTAAGTTCTACCTGCTCCCCCCACCTTCCTCGGTAGTATACATAGGGCATTGCCAGCTCATTCTGCTCTCTCTGTCAATCAACACAAGTTTCTATGTAGTGTACCTATACTAGCTGCAGCAAGCATTATGTGATCTATAAATTGAATCAAATTGCAAGATGTGTATGATTTTATGGTAATTTTCAACTGCATTACCTTTGTATTGTTTCAGGTACATGCCTATCTAATTACCCAGGTATTTTCTTTAATATATAGGTGATAAGGGTTTGATTGTGTTCTTCAATAAGGAATAACTGTTCTGTATCTTCCTGACTAAATATAAGCATAATAATACATGTACATTGTACCATTGATAAATTGATTTGTACAAATTGTTAAAATATATAGAAAGATAATTGACTTAGGCGCTCATATTATAACTTGTAGGAAGTATTATCAAAACTTGGCAAATTTATTGAAAGTTTGCATATCAAAATCTCGTTTTTGGAAGTTTGCACGAATTAAGCTTGTAATCATCAATCAAATTCTTTTCCTGAAAAAGTAAAATGTCATTCTTCAACTACAAGTTTACAAGTCCATACTACCTGTACATATTAAAGCCTAGCTGAAGTTTTTGACAATGTGTTTATTTTTACATGCAATTCGTTTAACAATTTGTTCTATGATGAAACATTTCATTTCATTAATTACAGCCAAAACAATTAATACTGATATGTAAATCGGAACAAAAAAGGTTGTGAGAGGTGAATTCCATTCTGCTGAGATAGACAGTCATTTGAGTCGGCTAATCAAACATTGTAAATTCTCATTTCGATGTTATGTATATGTATTTAGAAATTTCTCATAGTTGTAAATACCAGATATTTATACTAACATTAGAGAGAAAAAAACGGAAAAACGATCTGTTTATACAATTTCTACATGCTGGCATTATTGTGTACGAAATATATGCTGTAAAGGTTGTTCACAACTGTTTTAGAATAATTTTTTTCCCAAAGTATTTTGAAATAATTAACAGCCCTTTAAATGGTGTGATGTTGATCCAGGTAAATGATAGAACAAAGTGGTGGTGATGTAGATATATATATATAGCCCTTGTTTTAATGTATTAGTATATGTTCACAAGATATTTATATTCAGATTTGCGTGTCCCAACGAGATAATGTGAAAATATATATCTTGTGAATTATAACTGACTTACAGTAATCAGTCCCTTATAGCCAAACCCAAACATCACATTGTTGTAGACAGTTGGATTAAAATATAATTCACTCATTTGTGTTAATAGGTTGTCATTCTGTCGGTCAAGCATACCATGTGATAATCAGAATCTGTCACATTACTCAACAGTGACATTGTTTTGTAAATACATGTACCGGGGTACTTCCCAATTTCCCTCCATTTTCAATTGCCATATCCCCCAACCTCTCGCTGTCATCATCATGGGTCAACACCTAATTGGAAGTATTGGAGGAAGATCAGCTGGGGACTCCCTAGATGCCTGTTTCCCAACATAAGTCATTTGTTTAAAAGCGAAACTGGACTGTTTCTTTCTACACTGTCCCTCTCCGAAACTGCACCTGGAGCTCGACGTTGGTTGTATATCAATTGTTGAACCTATCTTTAAATTTGAAGTAATAAGGTTGAAATTTTCAATTATATAATACTACGGTAAGTCCTAGGTGAACAAATGTCATTGTGTCTCATCATTATAATACAGTGCCCTTCCTCTAAACACACGTGTATATAGAGAGGGAGAAGTGTGGTGTTCAGATTCGAGAGGCTGTCTGTATGTGCTTACTTGTGATACCATACATTGTTTAATATTTATTTATTTGTGGTAAAGCTTTTACAGAAAATCCTAATTCTTTTTAGACAAAGAAACTATTTTGTCATTGTTTTGATAAATTCCTACTTAACATTATGACTGTGAATATTTGTAATTAACTCCTCTTCAACAGCCATTGCTGATGGACATACTTGTAAATTTTGCTTGCTTTAAATGGCCTCGACCTTGTGACGAACACTTTTCCATGCTTCTAGAACCAGATGATGGGTAGATAGTTGCATGGAAAGGTTACAGGTTTAGACCAAATGGGAACATGAAATGCTTGTGAATGAAGTGCAAGAAACTTGTACAGTGCTCATGGTCGGTTTAAGTGCAAGATACTTTTTTATCTTATTAATCCTACAACCTTAATTTCTTCCCAAGTGGGACATGAATGGCATCACCCCCAAAATTGGGAGAAAGTAGTTTTATACTCATTTCTGTATTTCTCCAAACAATATGTCTGAAAAATTGGAAAGAAATTGAGGTTGTTAACAACATATAAATATATTTTGTGTGAGTGAAGTATGCATGTTTTATAATCGAGAGAAAGTGTATTAGTTGGAAGTGAGGCTGTGTCATGTGTCTGTATGATGGCTTTATAATCTGTGTACCGAGTGCATTGTGATGAGAGAAGAAGCTCTATACTAGACATGCAAGCCAATTTTTGTCCAAAAAAGTCAATGTATATGGTTGTACATTAATGTGAAAATAAAACAATTAAGTACATTTTTGAGTTTGTTTTCGAATTTACGAGATATTCTAGATATCAATAAGCAAGTGAAACGGACAGTGTCAAGCTTATTATGACTTTGATAACAAGACCCTAGCACTAGATGAGGAGCAGTCCTCAAAATGTATTCAGTTGTCTCTGGACTTGGCACAGACCTCCATGGATGTTCAGCACAGTCCTCCCACCTGTATTCAGCAGTCTTTCCATCAGCTTGCAGCAATACTTAAATTGTATACAGCACCCTCCTCAAACAGATTAATCAGTCTTCAAACTGTAATAAGAAAAGTCCTCCAAGTGTATTCAGCACATTCCTCCCACCATCTTTTCACCTGTATTCTCAGTCATCCCACCTGTATTCAGTACAGTCCTCCCACCTGTATTCAACAGTCCTCCCACCTGTATTCAGCAGTCATCCCACCTGTATTCTCAGTCATCCCACCTGTATTCAGTACAGTCCTCCCACCTGTATTCAACAGTCCTCCCACCTGTATTCAGCAGTCATCCCACCTGTATTCTCAGTCATCCCACCTGTATTCAGTACAGTCCTCCCACCTGTATTCAACAGTCCTCCCACCTGTATTCAGCAGTCATCCCACCTGTATTCTCAGTCATCCCACCTGTATTCAGTACAGTCCTCCCACCTGTATTCAACAGTCCTCCCACCTGTATTCAGCATGTTCCTCCCACCGTCCTCTCTTCTGTATTCTCATAGTCATCCCACCTGTATTCAGCACAGTCATCCCACCTGTATTCAGTAGTCCTCCCACCTGTATTCAGTACAGTCCTCCCACCTGTATTCAACAGTCCTCCCACCTGTATTCAGCATGTTCCTCCCACCGTCCTCTCTTCTGTATTCTCATAGTCATCCCACCTGTATTCAGCACAGTCCTCCCACCTGTATTCAGTACAGTCCTCCCACCTGTATTCAGCACAGTCCTCCCACCTGTATTCAGTACAGTCCTCCAACCTGTATTCAGCATAGTCCTCCCACCGTCCTCTCTTCTGTATTCTCATTGTCATCCCACCTGTAATCAGCATAGTCCTCCCACCTGTATTCAGCACAGTCCTCCCACCTGTATTCAGCAGTCATCCCAACTGTATTCAGCAGAGTCCTCCCACCTGTATTCGGCATAGTCATCCCACCTGTATTCTCAGTCATCCCACCTGTATTCTCATAGTCCTCCCACCTGTATTCAGCACAGTCATCCCACCTGTATTCTCATAGTCATCCCACCTGTATTCAGCACAGTCCTCCCACCTGTATTCAGCAGTCATCTCAACTGTATTCAGCATAGTCCTCCCACCTGTATTCGGCACAGTCCTCCAACCTGTATTCAGCACAGTCCTCCCACCTGTATTCAGCATAGTCCTCCCACCTGTATTCAGCATAGTCATCCCACCTGTATTCTCAGTCATCCCACCTGTATTCTCATAGTCATCCCACCTGTATTCAGCACAGTCATTCCACCTGTATTCAGCAGTCATCCCACCTGTATTCTCATAGTCATCCCACCTGTATTCAGCATAGTCCTCCCACCTGTATTCGGCACAGTCCTCCAACCTGTATTCAGAACAGTCCTCCCACCTGTATTCAGCATAGTCCTCCCCCCTGTATTCAGCATAGTCATCCCACCTGTATTCAGCATAGTCATCCCACCTTTATTCAGCATAGTCATCCCACCTGTATTCAGCAGTCCTCCCACCTGTATTCAGCACAATCCTCCCACCTGTATTCAGCAGTCATCCCACCTGTATTCAGAACAGTCCTCCCACCTGTATTCAGCATAGTCCTCCCACCAGTATTCAGCATAGTCATCCCACCTGTATTCTCAGTCATCCCACCTGTATTCAGCAGTCCTCCTATTCAGCAGTCATCCCACCTGTATTCTCATAGTCATCCCACCTGTATTCAGCATAGTCCTCCCACCTGTATTCAGCATAGTCATCCCCCCTGTATTCTCAGTCATCCCACCTGTATTCTCATAGTCATCCCGCCTGTATTCAGCACAGTCCTCCCACCTGTATTCTCAGTCATCCCACCTGTATTCTCATAGTCATCCAACCTGTATTCAGCACAGTCCTCCCACCTGTATTCAGCACAATCCTCCCACCTGTATTCAGCAGTCATCCCACCTGTATTCTCAGTCATCCCACCTGTATTCAGTACAGTCCTCCCACCTGTATTCAACAGTCCTCCCACCTGTATTCAGCAGTCATCCCACCTGTATTCAGCAGGCATCCCACCTGTATTCAGCACAGTCCTCCCACCTGCATTCAGCATAGTCATCCCACCTGTATTCAGCACAGTCCTCCCACCTGTATTCTCAGTCATCCCACCTGTATTCTCATATTCATCCCACCTGTATTCAGCACAGTCATTCCACCTGTATTCAGCACAGTCCTCCCACCTGTATTCTCAGTCATCCCCCCTGTATTCAGCAGTCCTCCCACCTGTATTCTCAGTCATCCCCCCTGTATTCAGCAGTCCTCCCACCTGTATTCTCAGTCATCCCACCTGTATTCAGTACAGTCCTCCCACCTGTATTCAGCACAGTCATCCCACCTGTATTCCGGACAGTCATCCCACCTGTATTCAGCACAGTCATCCGACCTGTATTCAGCACAGTCATCCCGCCTGTATTCAGCACAGTCATCCCACCTGTATTCAGCACAGTCATCCCCCTGTATTCAGCACAGTCCTCCCACCTGTATTCAGCACAGTCATCCCACCTCAAACTTTCAGTGTACACCCCTCAAACTTTCAGTGTACAGTCCTCTAACTGTATTCCGTACAGCCCTCAAACTGAGTCCAGTACAGTAATGCATTTAATATTCACTCTTGGGGCAAACTTGTATTTAAGGGCTTAGTTCCACATTAACCATACTGCTTTTTAATAAAGGTGGTAAAATATACAAATGTGTTTTTAGGTCACCAGAGACAAAGCTTTGAATTGTATGACCCTTGAGTCTCATGTTTACCCCTGGAGAGGGGGTAAACTTTACTATATATTGGGTAATCACATTTTGGACCAACATTTGTTTAATTTCAATTGGAAGTAATTCAATTTGGGTTAGCATTATCAGTATTGGATAGCAGTTTGATGGTATGCACATATCAGCCCTGAATGACCCCCAGGGGCTGATGGGTGGGGCCAAAAAGGGTCGAATTGACTGATATTTCAAAATTCTTCTCAAGACCCAGATATGGTAGAATCAAATACTCTTCATAGATGGAAGGGTTTTAAGGTGCTCTATCAAAATTGTGAATTTTATGACCCTATGGTCTCACGTTCACCCCTGGGGAAGGGAGGGGGTCAAAATTTATTGTGGCAAATGATACTATGTATATTACATGTTGATAACTTGATTGGAATTATAACCCTGAGTTGACAGTTTGACACTTTGAACATTTTGAGCCAGCTCTACCCCCAAGGGCGCTCAAAGGAGTCAGTGTGCTAAAATTTCTTCATTTTCCTTGTTTAGAATCAGAGGTGCTAAATTCAAATACTTTTTAGTCTTAAATTTGTATGCTAGATATTAAATAAGGCTGTTTTATTGTTTTTTGTCACTTTGAATAATACTTCTGTTCATGTTTTAAAAACAAAAATCAACTCTCTGTATCAGAACTTGGGTGACCTTTGAGGCCCATGGGCCTCTTGTTTATTATGGTATTTCTTCTATATGTAATTTTATATACATGTAATGTGTAGTTGAATTACTGACGTACACTGTCAGCTTGACACGGTAAATGCAAGTCAAAATAGAAATGTCAAATAAAAGCACAACAGTAATGTAAATGGATAAATAGGTCCTCAATGATTAGAAAGTAAATTCATCTTGGTAATTTCAAGATTACTGACATTCCTCCTAAGAGAAAACGATAAATCATTCCAATTTCCTTCTACATGGCCAAGTTGATAGAGAAGAGTTGCAAATTTGGATTCTCGGACATCAGTTAATGTGAAGTACACAGATTCTGACATGGATTCAGATTCTCAGACATAAGTTACCGGTTTGTGAAACACGGTCAGATTCTCACATATAAGTAACCAATATGTGAATCCCAGTCAGATTATTGCACATCAGTTTATGTGAAGCAAATTCAGGTCCCCACACATCAATTTTGTGGAGAGCATAACATATTCTTGCACACCAGTCATGTGAAGAACATTCATGGTAGATTTTCATACACAAGCTATGTGAAGTACACTTCACATTCAGGTTCTTGTTTACCAGTTATGTGAAGCACATTCAGATTCTTGTTTACCTGTTATGTGAAGCACATTCAGATTCTTGTTTACCTCTTATGTGAAGCACATTCAGATTTTTGTTTACCAGTTATGTGAAGCACATTCAGATTCTTGCTCATCAGTTAATGTGAAACAATTTGAGTTTCTCATCCAAATTTTTTGGAACACATACAGATTCTTGCAGTAACTGTGGAAACAAAGTGGTTTACAGTATATATGACCTCCTGCTATCCTATGACACTTGTTGGAACTGATCATATGGGTTGCCAATATTTTGTACCCTATTAAGGCTCACAACAATACAACCAAACCACATAAGTTAAGGTCCTTATGCAGCCAACAATAGATACTGCACAGGTGTGTTTACATGGCGGCGGTTGGTGATTGTATGACTGGGGTCATGTGCCCTCCCTCTCTAGTCGCTGCTGGGCCACCTCTATGATATCTGCCATTACTTCCGGCTTCACAGTCTCTTTCACCTGAAACACGGACATCATGACTAAACACTCGAGACAAATATGATTATTGGAGAAATCCTAAAGACGGAAACTAATCGGGGAAAGTTTTGGCCTACGACGGTAAAATCCATTTTCACAAAATATTAAATTCGCTTTCCGCATTTAATTCCTATGTACATTAAGTTGTTTACAAATTTTCACTATAATGATATATTTGCCATTATTACGGAGGACAAAAAAGGCAAACAATTCCCAGGTATACAGTATAGAATATTTAACAGAGGGACATACACAGATTCATGAAGCACTTAGGATTGTTTAAATCAGTCTATCACAAGGTCAATGTGTGTGAAGATGACTTTTATGCTTGGATAGTGCCCAACACAGGGCTTTTCAACTTCAGGACAGTCACGGATCAGAGGGAAATATGTGTAAAAAAAGAGGAAATTTTCATGCAAGGGAAATTGTCATTTTGAGCATGTTACTCATGTTTCTGCATAATTTTCTTGTCAATTTTCCCAAACACCTAAAGTTTACTGTTTCAGAGGTTATGGAAAGCAGAATAATTTCAAAGGTGTTCAAAGTAAAATCTAAAAAAATTAACATCCAATGTTAACATTATAAGCTACATATTCCAAAAAGGACTACCAAGCACTGTAGCTGCTCATACTGACTCAGGAGTACTAGAGGAAGATTTTTGTCAGTATTTTTTATCTAGCATGTTTCAATTTTCATGTTGATAGTAACTTACCGAGTATCGGAGAGAGGCCTCGAATGTGTAGAGGACACTAGTATCGTACAACATCATCTTGTGTTCCGCCAACGCCAGTACACAGTTCCGTAGCCTGGCTATTACTTCTCTATCAGACTTCTGAATCGGCTGCAGGAAAATATATACCGATAAATATATGTATATAGTGAAAACAGGGGGGATAACTCATGATTACAACTGAAGAACATTTTATTTGTTGACTGATATTAGAAATCAAAGAATATTTTCCTTTAGATTTTGACAAAGTAATAGTCAAATATATATACTTTGCCAACACAATTTCTAGGTATAAGTATTCCTGCTCACTTCAAGGTTCTGTTCGTATCCGCCTGTCTGCTCTACTTCCTCGTTGATGGTAGGACAGATCCAAACGTACCCGTTGTTACCCAGAATTATACTGGCTCCACACGGCAGATTGTGGAAGTGGGTCTTTCGTCGCTTGATCAGTGACGGCGATATTGAAACCAACTGACCTTGTGATAACTGAATGAAAGGATAGCACTATTACCTTGAGTTAATAAAGCTGTAAACCAAATACCTATTTTGTGACATACTTCAGACACTGATTCTGCAAAGTGAACAAAAACAAGTATTTATAGGTTTTAAAAATGTGTTGATTTAAATATTCATGATGTATTTCATATTCACAATTGATCTCTCCTCATAAATTAACTTGGTACAGTCTTATATAAATCCCCTGCAGTCACTACCTGTGTATAAGGGATGTCACAATACGCCTGGAGTGTATCACGATATATTGTAATACATCAAGTATGGACAGTGTATTATGGTACATATCCGGATATATTGTCATAGGAAAAAAAGTGTTCAGCTTAAAAAGAAATTGTTGTCAGAATGTTATCAAACTGAATCATGAGTACATCAAATGGATCACACAAATAGATGATTTACGCTGAACCAGAGAATATGAAATTTAAACTGATTCCCACCACTTATATAGCATGTGTATGGACATTGGTATATCTGTTAGAATATGTAGTAATCTGCAAAGTTAAAACACCTAGCATGAACATAAGAAAAAGCTTTTGAAAATATTGCATTATAGCAATCTGTCATTTCTGTATTCCGTTAAGATACATACGATACAATAAGCCTGTGTATTGCGATATACCAGTTTTCCAAAATATTGTGACAGACATACTGCCTATAGCTACCGTATAGCGGGTTATTTATGCTGGCTGAAATTTTCGCTATTTCGACCCAGAATGAGAAACTTACAGAGACAATAATTTTGCGATCTAGACAATATGTGAAGGAACACAATTTTCGTGATGTTTTAGCACCAAGACGGGATACTCAGTGTATAAAGTGTCAACTAATCAAATTAATAGGCTTATATTATTACATAACGAGTAACAACACGTAAGTGTATTCTGTTAAAGAAATCTTCAACAAAACCATCAGATGTCCGATACAATCTTTTTCCAAACATCTTGTATTACTCTTGATGTAGATATAAATTGTTACATCACATTATGACATACTTGTTATTTCCTGAAGACATTACCGTTATGATGTTTATTATCGTGGCTCATTTTTACGCTTGTAGTATAATTATAAACATCATATCCAGCTTTATGGTGCAGCTTTATATACCCCCCACCCCACCCCCCAAATCAATCATTCACCTATCACTGACTGTCGGTCCACACCTCTCAATGCACACAGACCAAATGTCAATGTGTTCAGCCAAGCCCTTCATGCCTTACCTTTCCATACTTGAGACTCCTTGTGTGAAGAGACAATGCCCCATCAGAGAACAGTGACTGCACCTCTGCCTGATATCTTGTTAAGGTCAACACAAACCATACAAATCTGCTAACACATCACTATGATGATCCTTACTGTAGAATATTCTACAAGGAAATTCCACTAGACAAAGAGGATGAAACACATTAACATGTAATTAAAACACAGCATATATAATGAGAATGGGCAACTTGTTCACAAAAGTAACATTCACATTATTAAAAATAGAAATAATTGAATATAAACAAGTATTGCAAGGCAATCCATAGTCCCCCACCAGTAATGATTTCTATATTTAACAAACAGTACACTTATGTCAGGATGTACCTACTGTTAGGAAAGTATCCCGATACATACAAAATGTACTCCTTGCACTCAGCCATCCCAAGATGTCCTTGTACACCAAATCTGGTTACTCCAAGGGAAATAGTACAGAAGATATGTTCCAGACAAACTTCTCGGACGGAAGGACGGAAAAACAGACAGACTGACTGTAAACCTATAGTCCCCCCCCTCCCCAGAAACCGGTGGGGGACTAACAATCTGAATGTTATCTTTACCAAGGTTCATATGAAAACGATACACAAACCTGTTAATGTAGGGCCAAGCCTTTGGATGCATTGTGGGGAACAGCTGAGTTCTTGATTTGATTTCCAAGAAGGACTTGCAGTAACATTTCTACATATTTCAAATTTTACTGAAATGAACCCTCTTTTTCTAAGAAATGACACAAAGAAAGGATACACTGATTAAATCTCCTTCTTTGAGGTAATGTCTCATCATCTTTTCGTCTTCTTCTGATCGCCTTCTCTGAAAGTGATGACGAAGTCTACATGATACAAATATTTGGCCTTATGCTGTAAATGTAACATTCACCTGATATACAACTGTATATTATTCTAACTAAAACGGTTTCAGCTTTTCATGAGAAGTTCAAAATGATTACTATGTGCCAAATAGTGACCGTATTTGACTTTGAAATAACCCCCCCCCCCCCAAAATTAACAACAATGAGAAAGTATTTAAGAGAATAATTCTCACCAAGTTTGGTAAAACAACCATTCTTCGATTACCTACCAATTCACTCCCAGGAAGATTAACAGAGTTTACCAAGATTACCTACCAATTCACTCCCGGGAAGATTAACAGAGCTTACCATGATTACCTACCAATTCACCCCCGGGAAGATTAACAGAGCTTACCATGATTACCTATCAATTCATCCCCGGGAAGATTAACAGAGTTTACCATGATTACCTACCAATTTATCCCCGGGAAGATTAACAGAGCTTACCATGATTACCTACCAATTCATCCCCGGGAAGATTAACAGAGTTTATCATGATTACCTACCAATTCACTCCCGGGAAGATTAACAGAGCTTACCATGATTCCCTACCAATTCACTCCCGGGAAGATTAACAGAGATTACCATGATTACCTACCAATTCATCCCCGGGTAGATTAACAGAGTTTACCATGATTATCTACCAATTCATCCCCGGGAAGATTAACAAAGTTTACCATGATTACCTACCAATTCATCCCCGGGAAGATTAACAGAGTTTACCATGATTACCTACCAATTCACCCCCTGGAAGATTAACAGAGGACAACATCAGGACAGAGTCCAATTTGGCATGAGTGTCCACCTTCCAACGACGAGTCCCGACTTCCAGAATCCGACCAATTACCACATCTCCAATTTCACCATTGTACCTGCATGGTAGAGGAACACAGTATTGTAATGGCTTTCAAAGCATTACTATTGATGACCAATATGATTTAACATTATTATCTGTCAAGAGGTTCAAATGACATGGATCCACCAAGTGCAATCCATATCCTACCTGCTTTTTAAGATGTGTAAAAGTTAAAATGTAATTGTGATAGCATATTACATAATTTTAAGGATGTGGTGTAGACAGGTCTGAAAAAGAATAAATTCCTTGTTTTTCAGACTTTTTTTCTTCCTCTTTTTCTAAACATTTACATCAGGTTGGTAAGTATGGACTGTATAGAGGTTCATATAGCATAACCAGTGAAGTGTTTATGTGTGCTTTCAATGTCTATTGTGATATTATGTAACCTTCATCTATTTTGGTGCTGTGTTGTAAATGATGAATTATATCATAGATGTAACACAAAATCGAAAAGAAATTAAAGTCCATTTTGATTAATTGAACACTCAGTTTGATGCAGTGCTAATATAATTCTTGAATGGCGGCTTTGTTAAAGTATATGCTTTGCAACGCACAGGTCCTGAGTTCGACCCCCTACATTTTTCTTTTTTTTTTTTTCATTTTTTTTCAAACATTCAAACTTTGGACAAATTTAATTCTGAAAAATGCATGGCCATGTGTGATTTGTAAGGAATGCATGTATTATTTTTGAAAGAACGTTTACGAATATTTCCTAATAGTGACAAAGGTAATACATTGTAATAACGCTTAACCTGCTAGTACCCTCTTAATAGCAATTTTACATTTTCCTCAAAGGTCAAGACTCAAGCATATAGAACATCAAATTACTATTGAGAGTAACTCTCTAACATATCCTGAACAGATCATACTGTCAGGATTCAAACTTTGTTCAAAATTTTGTATTGGCTTCATATTCAAAACTGATCCTTTTGAGTGAATCTATGCTACACTATATATATACCTCATACAAACATGTGACTGACAGTACCTTGTTTTTAAAGGTTTGACACAAATGAGTTTATTGACTCTCTCCACTACTCCCGCCACTGAAGCGTACAGTTTCTCATCTTCCATGTAAGTTCCATGTCCACTGAAACATCAACAACATAATGGTAAGCAGTGTAAGGCTGTGGCTGGGTGGGTAAAAAACATCTCGTCAGACTTCAATACCTATTTGAGTCTGAGACCAAATAACTCAACATGGACTTTCTACAAACTGAACTTAAAACTTGATCAGCTGCAAATATATATAACCACAGGCTGCAGTTTAATGGAAAGTTATTAACATATGGATAACAGCTTCTCTAAAGGATAACAATTGTGTTGAGGCTTAATTGTTATAAGTACACTACTGTACTATACATGTACAGTATGTAATATTCTTAGATTCACCATACATGTAGATCAAATTAGTATCCCTTCGGCATTCCCTACAGATTAAGAAAATTACTCTGCATTCCAGCATTCCCTACAGATCAAGTAAATCTGTTCTAGCATCTCTTACAAATCGAGTAAATTACCCAGCAATTCCTACAGATCAAGTAAATCCTACCTTCCAGCATTCCCTACAGATCAAGTAAATTACACCACATTTGCTGAAGAGTAAGTAATTTATATATTACCTTTCCAGCATTCCTTATCAAATACGTTGGATCGATCAAGGCATCAACTATTAAAATTTACATAAGACTTTTGAGCAAAATTGAATTTCATAAACTGGCCTTGATATTATTATCCGACCCGAGCCAGTGGAACAGACATCCCATCTGTCTTCCCGTAGGATACTACATGGTCACGAGTTGGAGCATGTGACAGAGGCTAAATATCTTGGGGTCACCATATTACTTCTGATCTAAAGTGGAGTACCGGTACTCATATCGATAACATCACAAAAAAGGCCAATTCCACTCTGGGCTTCCTGAGGCGCAATCTCAAAATTTCATCCTCTAACATCAAACAAAAGGCCTATAAGTCCCTGGTCCGCCCTCAGTTTGAATACGCTAGCCCAGTATGGGACCCTTACTTAAAAAAAGATATCGACAAGCTAGAGATGGTACAGCGCACTGCCGGTTTCGTTGCCAACCGCTATCGTAACACCTCCAGCGTTGGCAACAGGTTAGAACACCTAAAATGGCGTAGTCTTGCAGATCGCAGGAAAGACGCGTGGCTGACCATGCTCTATAAAATCCATCATAATAAAGTTGCCATTACTACTAAATATCCCACCCCTATAACCAGACAAACAAGGCATAGTCATCAAACCTCATTTCAAACTATCTCATGCAGGACGTCTGTAAGGAAGGAAACATTCTTTCCTCTGACTATCAAAGATTGGAACAAACTCTCTTCTCAAATTATTTCTTCTGATTCAATACTGTCCTTCAAATCATCTATCTCTGCTCATCAATGTTAAGTTCTGTTCCTTTCCTTTCATATTGCTACACCTACATCTACATAGTAATGACCACCTTCATCTATTTGAAGATCATGTCATGTGATAGTGGTTGCTCTAGGCCAAGAGAAGAAAAGATAAAAGATAGTGAAAGGGAATATTTATAAAGTATTGGAGTTAGAATTGTTTTTTGTTTAGGGACATTTGTTGGTGACTAATCTGGCTGCTCTATGCTGCACCATTTCTATTTTGTTTATGTCTGTTTTAGTATAAGGGTCCCAAACTGAGCAGGCATATTCTAGGGATGGTCTGACAAGTGTTTTATATGCCTGCTCCTTGACAGATGTAGAGTTTATCTTTAGATTTCGTCTGAGAAAGCCTAAGGTGGAGTTGGCTTTCCCACAGATGTTGTTTATGTGACATTCCCACTTCAGATTTGACTGTATAGTGACACCTAAATATTTTGCTTTGTCTACATGTTTTAGTTCCTTTCCGTGCAGCATGTATTTGTGATGTTGTGGTTGTTTGTTGTTGGTGATGGAAAGGACGTTACATTTGTCAGGATGGAAGGACATTTCCCATGCTATCTCCCATAGAGCTAGTTTGTCTAAATCTTGTTGCAATAGCTGGGCATCAGATGGTGATTTGATAGTGCGATAGACAATGGTGTCATCTGCAAATAGACGTACAGTGGAATGGAGGCCAACAGGAATGACGTTTATATAGAATAGAAAGAGGGATGGACCAATAACCGAGCCTTGAGGGACACCTGACTTGACATCGACAATGCTAGATTTTCCCTCTTCAACGATGACAGCCTGCTTCCTATTATCCAGGAAGTTTTCTATCCAGGTGTTAACCTTCTCATTTACACCATAATGACGAAGCTTATGACAAAGAATCGAAGCGAATGACAAACCTTGTAAAAAGCTTTGGAAAAATCCATAATTAAGATGTCGGTTTGTTTCCCCTTGTCAATGTTGGCGCTGACATCATCAACAAATTCAATGAGCTGACTCTCACATGATACTGACCTTCGAAACCGTGTTGGAGTGGGTAAAGGATGTTATGTTTGTCAGCGTGGTTTATGATGTTACTGACAACTATGTGTTCTAGAAGTTTGCTACAAATACATGTGAGAGAGATTGGCCTGTAATTTTCTGGATTTAATTTAGAGCCCTTTTTATAGACAGGAGAGACATGCACTAACTTCCAATCAGAGGGAACTGTGCCAGAATGAAGAGATTCGTTAAAGATGATAGAGAGGACAGGGGCAATTTCAGAAGAAAGTTCTTTCAAGATCTTGGGCTTCAACTCGTCAGGTCTAGCTGCTTTACTAGGGTTTAAATTTTGCAGTAGTTTTTGTACGCCATTCGGAGTGATATCAAATTCTGGCATGATGGAGTACTGGGTGGAAGATGGGATATTACATTTTTTAAAGAATTCATCAGAGGATAATTTACCACCTGGGATAAAAATAGACTGGAATTGAGTGTTAAGGGTCTCAGCCTTACCTACAGGGTCAGTTTCAAGTTTACCATGTGATTTTAGAGATGATTTACCGTTATAGTCGGTCTTCCTATGCTTCATATATGACCAGAATCTTTTGGAGGCACTAAAATTACTGTCATTACTGTCATTACACCTAGATGTGACATGATCTTCACCATGCTGAAGTAGGTCATCAAATGGTAGAAGTGTTGATGCATTTGTAACAGGAGAGGAAAATTGCACTGCCATACCAGGGTTCGAACCCCGGACCCTTCGAACTATACACAGATGCTCTACTAATTGAGAGTTCTATGATCAGGTCACCGACGATCGAACCAACATGCCCCGCTACACATTAATGCGTCATCTGGGATGAAAGTGTTCCCGCAGTAACCAACTGCAACATCTCAATACACACAAGCATACAATTGACGTGCCTCAAAAGTAGCACATCAGAAAACAGAAAAAAAAGTCTTTTAATACGTTGTTAATGTCGGTCCTGAACTCCAGCAGGAACTTTGCGTTGTGATATTATGGACCCAAACGACATCAGATTATAAGATATTCTTTTATCACAGCAAACTTACCGCATGAAACCGGTGTCTGCAGTTATCACATCTCCTGGTGTTACTAGATTACTGATTTCGGCAGAAACATTAGGTTTCGTTGATGAGCGAGCACCTGCTATCCTCACGTCGACCATGCTTCTCCAAATCCGTGTTAATAATATGCCTAAGTTGAGATGTGTGATAATCATATAAGAACCAAACGCATTTGTGATCCAGTGAATTTTTAGTTACATTCATTTTACCACCACGGATCAACATATGAAATGGATAAAAAACCGGAGATCAGCAAAGAGGCAGTGAGTATATCGTTTAACTTAATCGTATCAATTAACCACTGAGTATATGTAATGCTGTAACTCATATCATATCGAGGATATATAAAGTTGTTCGAAACGAGACCAAGGTATTTAGAGGTCGAGTTTTACTGAATCTACTAAAACCCTGAACAGAGCCGAACTGACATGCGCCGATGTGGATCGAAGGAACCTGATAATTTTGTATATTAATTAAGGTGTTCAGAGTAATGTGTGAAATGATTATATGAACATTTCATTTTGCAAAATTAAAAGTAACAATTACTCATGTTCATGTGTTTCAACCGGGATACGCGAATGCGACCCTCATTTTGAGGAAAAATATAGTAAGAGTAGTCTCCCTTGTACCAATGGTTTGAAAAGTTCTATAACATTGCCAACTTCAGACATATATTGCACTTACAATAAAATCATGTAACAAAAAAAATGTATTGCTGTTTTCTCATATTCATAGAGCTCTTCAACTATCATTTATATTAATATTTTCTTTGATATTATTTTTTTTTATCATAAGATGGCAATAGTTTCATTTCGAATGATTATTTAATATATAACAATCTGTATCAATCTGATTAGATTTATATGTTTTAATTGATAATCCAAAAAAGGCTACAGTCTAAATTCTGGTCACATGCTATTTATTGCAGGCTGACGCCTTTATTGCCTGTGGAAAGACTGGAAATATCAACACCATGGTATTGTTTGCTGCAAGTAAGTAATTTTCTAATTACCGTAGTGAGCTGCTACATGTGATTTACATAATACTTACATTTCTGTAAGGTGTACATACTTCAGGACTTACACTTCATTGTTATCATTGTAACAGGAAAAGACTTAGTGTGCTTCCACCTGGGATCAGACCCTTCCTTATTACCCCAATGTAACAGCTCTGCTTCTGATATATTTTACAATTCAAGAAATATGATTGTAAGCAGATTTTTCATACCAAAAGAATAAAAATAGGTTTTATTTCAAGTATATCATAAAAGTAATACAATTGTACTAGTCTTCTGTTTCTTATTCAGCTTTGATATAACAAGCACTTGAGAAAATATTACGACATATCCTAAGTTCATAAATGGCATTTAGTTTGATGTCATTTTTTGTGAAGAAAAAGTTTGTATAACAGGACTCACAGTGTTCTGATAGATATGACCAGATAGATTTATTTAGGATGTTGTAAGCAATGTATTTGACAAGCTTGTTTGATGTGTTGATAAACCTATCTATAAAACAATATATACACCAGATTTGGTACAGTAGATGTTGCTTAATGGCACTTCTCATTTGGCAGAGAAAAAATATGATAGTAACTGAAATGTGACATTAAAAGGAAATATCTTTGTCTGACCTTTTCAGCTGTCAAAACCAGGAAGTGGCAAAATTTAAATGTCCGATTGAAATGGTTTTGTAACCGACACAAATTTCGCTTTTTAAACAGTGAAATAATTGCCTTATATTTGCTTATCTCTTTGAAATGTGTAGCTAAAAATCTTGCTGAATTTCAAATACATTTTTTTACCTCATTTTGATGTATCATTCAATGTCCAAATTCCTTTTTTTAGCAGTCAAACAGGAGCACTAGTACCAGGTTTTAAATTTCAGGGAAGATATCATACGAGAGCTGTAAACAAATAAATCTGGTGAATGCTGTACTCTTATAAATAAATATGCAAATGACCGATATATATTTTTAAATGCTCATTATATTTTTTTCTCTTCCAGCATTTGGTGTTGCATATCTAGCACAAGGGGCATATATGTACAAAACCAAGAAATTCCTCAAGAGCAAGAACCGAGCACTTCTGCCACTGGGAGCAGCTTTCCTCCCTTCCTATTTCTACTACTGGAGTGTCTTATATAATTGTAGAAAAGAAATGGGGAAGAATTATCCACAATGCTTTGAGACTAAAGGTCCAAGATAAACGGAATTCAATGGTACATAGATGTGATTTTAATAATTCAAATGTATTACATGTATTTCTTAAACTACATGTATCTACCATTGTATATGTGGTAAAACCTCTATATAATGCCCCTCGTTACAATTTCCACCTTGTTTACCACCAATATTTTTCAATTTCCCTTTTACTCATTTTCTGAAGAAAAAACTTATACTGTATAATTCCCTTAATTAACTGCCAAACCACCTTATATCACCAACATTTCTTTGGACAAATAGTGGCAGTATAACAAGGTTTTACTGTATACAAATGATCATGGTTTTCTGTCGGGATTAAAATCATATAGTGTATACTGAGGAGTTTTAGAGGTTTAAACCCAAGTTATGTTTTGAACATTTTCATTCTTTCAGCAGCCCCTGTCAGCCATGTTGAACCCCGGTGTGTTAGTTTGCACTTGTTTGAATCTCAGTGTAAGGGGCAAGATACATACATAGTATATGTTGAACCTGCAAACAGAGTATTGAAAATATTACATAACTACTGTTTATCTCAGGATAGCTCTTCTTAAAATTATTGCTGACGTAATTGAATTTTATGATGTGATAATGACTTCATTGGATGGGTTTCATATTTGTAAATAAATGTATGTTATATCTTAAGACCACAAATTTTGATGAACCTTGAGAAATTTAACTCATTCAGCCCTGAATTTCGTAATGGACTATTCCAACCTTTGAATTGGAAGAGTTCAAATGTGTCTTCAGGGGTGAATGAGTTAAAAAAAAGTAATTTTACGTTGTTGATTTTCTCATAACTTGAATAGACTTGTGTTTTTTCTTTTCAGTACATTTATGTGTTATTTCTTTTTGATTCTTTATATTTCAGATGATGATTAAGACTACCAGCACATAGGAAGACTGAGAACGAACTCTTAGTTAACTCATTCAACCTAAAGTCACATTTGAACCCACCAAATCAATGACTGTGCAAATCCAGTTTAGAAGTGTAGGGGTGAATGAGTTTATAACATTGGAAACAAAGAAGATCAAAATTAGTGGTCTGTGTACATGTATTACTGAGGTATGTCATAAGTGTCTAAATTGTCTGATGGTCACTCTGCCATTGTCAAGCCTAGATCACTAGACATGTGTACTGAGCAGCGCTGGACACAGCCGGTCGCCTGGTCGCCAAAGGCGGCCAAAACCTTGATTGGGCGACTAGAAATTGTCAAAAGATGGATGTTACTGGCCCAAAAATAAATCTTTGGGCGAGTACATTGGTTTGTTTACAAAATGCTTGGTAATAATTGAATTGAATGACAGCTACTCAGTTAGTTGGGGATGTCATTAAAAACATCTATTTATATTGTTTTATTGGCATTTTTTATTGCTCAATACTGAAAATAATCTTAGTGAAATATTTTGGCTACCAATATTCATTTTGGGCCTGTGGAATAATTTGTGTACTCGCCCAAAAAACATTTTCTAATCCCTGTAGCCATTGACTTCCATTTTGTCTACCTCGCACTCTAGAAAACTTGGATTGGTTCAATGACACTGCCAGACTACCCAATATAAGAGGATTTCATTGATACACTTGTGATCAGTAGATGAATATTCTGTTGCATCTTTTTATCTATATTTTATACTGTATTTGATGCAGTATGGAATTTGTGTACAAAAATATTGAAATATTTTCAGGGGTTTGTTTTCTAGTTACCGTACTGTTAAGCATTTTTTGGAAAAGTTTTAACCGATTCTAGTTTGGAATATTTAAAATATTTGATTTATTGTATTTTTATCAATTCTGAAATAAAAAGTGCTAAAACTGACCATAGGCTATGCCCTCTTTACAACTAATTAGTTTGGTATGCTTAAAGGTAGGTGACTGTTATAACGAAAATGGGACTGATACAGATGTGTTCACCATAATGCAGAAGACATGAACAAATGATAAAAATAATGATTTTTTTCCTGTAACGAAAATTGATAGACTGGGGAATGGAGTAAGGGTGTTCTAGAAGCTGCTGTCTGCGCACCATCTACTCTTTGTACAAAAGCGATCATGCTAACTTCAGACAAATCAAACTCCACATATTGTCACCATATGTTTTTAGTTTTTCAAAAGGCAATGAGATTACCTAATATAATATTATAGCCCTGTAAGTAAGCTAAATATATATCCGTTAAACTGTATTACAACAAAAACATGATACCAAAACTCAGAGGAATTCCATTTTGAACAATATAGCTGATGGAAGGGGTCCAAACAATAACTGCCAGCTTCATGTTTTTGACAACTCTGTAGATAATAAAATAAAAAGTGATTTGTGAATAATCTACTTTTGTAAAATTGCATTAATTGTAACAAGTGACTTTGTACTTTGTACTTTGTATGGTTCACCTTTATAAGGAATTCACATGGGTATACTGTATTATACAAAACTACTTGTAGTTTTGCGAAAATTGAGTCTGATGAGGTGACAATACGTGAGATTGGTTAGCTTGATTTGCCTGAATTTAGCATTAGTTAACCCACTCACCCCTAAAATCACATTTGAACCTTACCAAATTAAAACCTGGGCAAGTCCAGTTTAAATATGTAGGGAACGTCAAGTAATCATGATTTTAAATATCATGATCATGATTGCAGAATATATCTTGCTGTCCATTTGCATTACACGGAGTGGAGGTCGTCATTTTTTTTATTTTTTTTTAAGGTTAAATAATATAGATTTTCAGAAAAGATATTGATGTTTGTGGCCGCGAAAAAAGTGTTAGGGTCAGAGGAACTCGGGCTATGGATCGCGGTGCCTTTTTATGGGGGCGAAACAAAATGTCGCTTTTTCGGTACACTGTGATAGAAGTAGTATTCCTACACACTTAATTATGAAATATGTCTGGTTTTTCAATAATATGTCAAAGTTTGTCACTATTCGGGGACGAGCATGTATACATTACAGTACTCACCCTCATATATCCTGCTTTAAAATGTCACTCGGCAAAATTTAGGGGGTGGGGAGGTGTATGACGGATATATACGCCTCCCTCTAAATGCCCCGTGGTTACTGCCCTTTTGATGTACGATAAATTAAATCAAATACACTACTGATCCTGATAAATAAATCGAGAGTAAATGGCGCGTGACCACTGGAGATCGGACGTAATGACCAGTGGTCTCTCGGGAAGGCTAGTGGGGGAACTGACCAGCTGGGTAAATGGCAATCAGGTAGATCCAGAACCTCCCGACTCGTAACATAATTTATACGATATTTCAATCAAACTTCAGCCTATCAAATTGATGGGAAGACTTATCGGACGATAGGCGTTAGAAACCGCGTGCATCACCAAAACATTGTATGGAAGCTCGTCGGGAACAAATTGCTTCAAACGTTTAATTTCGAGCCTCGTCGGAGGTGCCTAAAATGTCATGATTGACTGCAGGCTACTAAATATAAGGGCGTCGTGATAAGCGTGAGTTCGCAGTAAGTATCATCAAACTATTGATGGCGACTTTCGGTATATAAACAAGTGTGTCCTGTTGTTAATATATATATATAGGACGCAGTTTCGATTAATAAGATTTAATAACTAGCTAACCTTTTGAGTGAATGCTATTCTAGATATGGGAAGCACACTAGCCCTTGTAGGGTGTACATTGTAGATGTTTCAGGTGAGGAACTTGAGTTAGATTTAAAGTGTATATATTTCATAATTCATATAAACATCGAAAATAGGAATATAGCGTTAAATAGAACAACTTTTGCCCAAAACTATTTCGTTTTGGATGTTCAAAGACTCCATTTTGATGAAATTAAAAAAATATTTATAAAAAAAAATGTCAATTCGTAGCCCTAGTTTCCTCTGGCCCTGACACAAGATTTTAACATTTTGACAAATAGATGTCTGGTGTGGGACATCTATCTGTCAAAATGTCTAAGCCTGGTGTCAGGGCCAGAGGAAACTCGGGCTGGTCAATTCGGGTAACTTGGACTTAAAATGATTTTGGGGAAAAACGCTGAAATCAAATGGACTCGTTTTAAAAAGAAAATAAGTGGAGAGAAACCATATTAATTAATGTCAAATGTTTTCCCGAAATAAAATTGTACTCAAAACGAGTACATTTGTTGTGGAGCGAAATTACAAGTCTAATTTTAAGAAGATTGTTTTTGTATAACGATTTTTTTCATCTGTCGAAGTCGATCGAGGTGTTTCAGATAGGCCACATTCCACTGACCTCCGATTGTTGTTAATAGTAAGAAAGAACGCCGGGCCATGCCCTCCGATAGTGTTGTCTGAAATATCGGCAGTGATTTCTGGCGGGTACCGGTTTTCATACTGTGGCGATTGAGCAGAGGTCAGGAAAAGTGGATGGGTGGAGCAGTACATGAGTAATAAGGGGTCTGGCTCGGTCACTTTCCCGTCAGACACTGGACATTCACACCGCACTTTCCGGCGAGTGTTTCCGGAGATGATAACGCATCGGACATAGTTCATGGCCGAAATCGCTTTCAGATGTCATTCAGAAAGACCAACGTAAGAAAATAAGATTGTCGATTTTAATTTTGAACCGGAAAAAAACGATGTGTCTGGCCAGACGTTCCTGAAATATTGATGTTGCCCGTCGAGTGAGGTGTGTGATTTAATACATGGTAAACAGGTAACAGGATTAGAATCTCCGATGTGATTGGAACCTTACAATAATTTAATTATATTCCGAACAGAATTTTCCAGAGATGGGAACATATTTAGCCGGGACTTTTTGCAGTAACATGTAAGAACGAACGGTCGAGCGTACAAAATAGTCAAACACAAAGCGGGGAAATGATCACAATGCACGTCACAGCAATTCCAGAGGTGTTTACTATACTTGTTCTTGTTGCAAGTTATTCAGCCACGAATACAACTGACATCATGGATATCTCCATGGAAACAGTTCACGTATCCATGGATACCAATATGACACTTGAGGATGTTGTATCAGAACTTAATGCTCTCAAGGTCCAGGTCTTGCGGAACAAACAGCACCTCCGCGAGGAGGTGGTCAACATTCTTAACAAGAGCCACGAGCACCTACACAAGGAGGGACACGGAAGGACCAGGGCCACCCGGAGGCAGCTCCGCCAGATCATGACCCACTTGCGCACACTCAGTCTGGACATCCGGCAGCTTCATTACCAGACTATGTACATGAGGAAGGGATTCGAACTCTCACTTAACAACACTAAAACTAGCTTAGGCGGGAGGTTCGAGGGCGTCCTAGGTTCGATGTCCAATATATCAGGAGCCATGGAAGCAATGACGTCACGTGTTGGTGCTTTGGAGGACGGTATGCGGAAGGCTGGTATTCCGGTACCAACGACAGGTAAACTATGTGTAATGTCAGTATATATTATCTCTGATTTAAAACAAATGTTAAAATAGCTTGTTGAATTCTACTAAATGGATAGTTGTTATTTCACTTTTATTGTAATGTTAAAGTCGGTTTTACTAAACTGTGAACATTCTATGATCATAAATAAATATTTTCGCTTTTTATCATGTCGCTGGTATTTACGAGTAATAACGAACATGGAGGAATGTGTGCTCTGTTAAATACAATTGAAGCGTATTTCTTCACGCAATCGAAGCGTGGTTTCTTTTCTCTCCTTGTAAGTTATGGAACAATTGAAGCATGTGTCATCATGTAAATAGAATTGCGGTTTGGAGCATATTTTTTTCCGAAAGTAAAGTTCCCGTCAAATCATGTTTCTCTTGTAAGTCAAAATGAGGTTAAAGCATTGTTTTGTATATAAGTTCAGTTTTGAAGTATATGTTTTCCTAGGAAGAAAAATGTTTCCTCATGAAGGTTAAATAGCGCTTGAAGTATGTTTTACCATGTATGTTAAATCATGGTTGTAACACGTTACAGTACTTGTTAATTTAGTTACGTTTCTTGCCTCCGTTCGTAGGTAAACTTATGGTTGAAGCATATTTCGTCCAGAAGGTTAAATTACGGTTGGGTCGTGTTTCCTTCTCTAAGTTAAAAACATGTTGAATCATAAATGGTGTACGCTTAATCGAGACATCAACTGTCGGGTAGGCACTGTAAGCTAGGAACCAACGAGACTGCTTCTGAAGGCCCTTTTGCTTAATACGGTAGATATGCTACAGAACGAACATTAGAAGTTTTCCCTCACGTTTGACTTCCATGGATCTGAATATGGAATGGGTCAACGAAAGGTTCTCGGACAGCAAGTAAACAGGCCAACAATCATTATAAACGTACAATATGTTTCATTATTCATAAATATGAGTCGCATGAAGATTTGGACAGGCGTCATAGATATGTAACCTGGCAAAATACAGACCAAATATCAGTGCTTATAGGCATAACAATTTATTAAAAGAAATTTGCAATTTTCAACATTTTGACCTCTGTCAACTTTAAAGCGGGCCAAGGTTCTTTCAATCTATTTGCGCGATATTGATAGCCATTTACTTATCATTACCTTATATCGTTATAGTTTAGAAGAGATCGTTTAAAGAAAACAATTGACGACGGACGAATGACTGATGGACGGAGGACAGAGGCCGCGCCATGGCATGGTCATGCTACATTATAGATCAGACGTTAGTCAAGATTCCGAGTTAGCATCGAGTCATTTTTTATATTAAAAGTCTAGTACAAGTATCTGTCTCTTTCTTCAGAGCCAATCATGTTGATGCGAGCGATCAGTCCATTAGTTACCACGGTCCGAGGACGGACGGCCGTGCTGGGCTGTGTTTGGACCGTGTCTGGATTTGACCAGCCGAACATTTCTGTTTCATGGTCAAAAATAGACGGGGTAAGTGAAACTCAATGTCCATCTCTCAACATCCTCGAAAACCAAGGGATCGTGCAGAGAAGATATTTTATGACAACAGAACCCTTTAATTTTGAGAACGAGAATTATCTCTCGTTTATATTTACACAAGATATTATCAAGAATGCAAAAGCATGAATACAATTTTACTACGCTGTCGCACGATTTGAACACGAGTATTATATCATGACTAATGGTTTGGTTTGGTTTACTTTTGTTTAACGTCTCAGGTCATTTAAGGACGTGCCTCCATGTGTGTGGTGTATGCGTGCTCGCGTGTGTGTATGCTTGCCTCCTTGTGATAGCGCGGATCTGATGCCGACTTTATAGTGCTATCTCACTACCAAGCACAGCATTCAGCCCGGTCACATTATACTGTCAACGGGTGAACAAGTTGTTGCCATTCCCCTTAATGCTGAACGTTATAAGGACTTTTGTGTGTCCCGGCCTGGGGACAGAACCCATTGCCTTCCTTACCTGGTCGAACGTTCAACATTTAAGCCAAAAGTAAGATGTTGCCAAGCTAGGCACTAGGAAATAAAAGGTAGTAAGAAGTAGAAAGAAAGATGAAGATACCAAATATTGCAATGGGCGCAGCAGATTTATTTTGGTCGCTTTTGTGTCCCCAAATAGAGGACACCAAAGCAAATCCCCAATTCTGCAAGGGGTTCCCACATTATTCGCCTCCTAAAATACATGCAGTGGTTAACAGCAGGTGTATTCTTTTCCCGATTCCCCACCTGCAGGGGTGTCAGAACTAATGATTATGTCGGAAAAATACTTTTATACACGCAGACATCACGGTAGTCTAGTGGTAGGGCGCGGGGCTTCGTAACCGAAGGGTTGCGGATTTGAGTCACGTCACGGCACTGTTGTTGTACCCTTAAGCAAGATACTTTACTCCGCTTGTTCCAGTCTACTCAGCTGTAAAAGAGTAGGTGGTTGTGTAGTGCTAGAATTGTAGAATGCTAGCTGTGACCGCCAAAATGGCAGCACCGGCTGTATGCTCCCCAGGGAGTTGAGAAAAGGTCCTATAACCACGGATACAAATTTGTGAATCGCTTTGAGACGACCTACGAACTGGGTTGTGAAAAAGTGGTATTTAAGAACCTCGAATTATTATTAGTAGTATCATTACATCATCCAAACGTTTTAGACAAAAACTTTCATTGCGTTACAGTTTGCAATATGCTGTAAGGTTTTTTTTTATTCTAAGGATGCCGTGCTTTTGATCATTGCAGCATCAAAAGTGTGTGTGATGGTCGGGTCGCTAGTATTTCCAGTCAATATAGATGTGATTTGTAATCGGGAACAGTCGGCACTTACCGTAGGGGAGAGAGTATTTTGTGGGGTTTTTTACGCTAATTATATTTAAATGTAATCTATGACGACAGGTGCTGCCACCGGAGAGTGTTACAGAGAGCGGTAGTTTGATCATACGTGATGTAGATTACAGTGATGATGGCACGTACTTGTGTCGTCATAGCGAAATCGATGATGACGTCACATCGACCACTGTGCAACTCGTCGTAAAAGGTAAGGTTGCCGCTATTTTAATCATGTGTGCACTGTCCAAGCAAATAATAACAACTAAAGAAGTAGAAAAAATAGAGTAAGCATGTTTATAGTAGCCGACAAGACGTTAACCTCATGCCACGTAACGATACGACGTTTTCATTCGCAAAATTTAAATAAAAATAATGGAGAAATTGTTATAATGTAAATATTGATGTAGGCTTGGACCATTTGTTATGTTGAATTCTTCAATATCATTTACTAACTGTACCGATCGTTTTATTATAACCTGGTAAGCTAACACTTGTACAATACACCTTTTGCTCAGACCTTGTGAAGTTCCGATTTTCACGCCTTGTAATGTTTTTTCATAAAGTCCCAACCCTGACCATGAAGGCCAAGCGAGACAATGTAGCGGTATACCGGGGAAGTAAGGCCATCTTAGAGTGTGTCATCACTGGGGACGTTACCGTCACTGCCCCCATATACTGGACTCGGTCTAATGGCGTAAGTACCGTGGTGACGTCACGCGACGTTCAAATTAAGAGAGTATTCCAAAAGAGAGAAATGGATTAATTAATCGATTTTCGATTGTTGATTGTCGATTGTAAAAATTCTTGTATCTTGTATTTTGTAATTTTACGATAATTTTGAACAGGTGATTGACGCAAACATTTAAGGATTAACTTGAATATATTTTTCATGTTATGGAGGTATAACACAAAAAAACGGAGTGTACTCTAAATAAAACCGCTTCATTGTCGTTGGCTGTGTTGTAGGTTCTTCCGGTCCAGTCCATCATTTCAGATGGACGCTTGATGATCGATGATGTGGTAGTGAGGGATACTGGAACGTATGTTTGTGACGTCAACATAACGGAAGTCGTTGTTAACCCGGGCGTGATCAGACTCGAGGTGAAGAAAGGTCATTCACTTACTATTTCATTTTCTATGAGCACATCAATGTAAAATCGTTTGACAGATATTTGCTAATTATTTGATATATTGTAAACAAAATATGAGTGACACATCTTTATATATAATCGTTATCTGGTGAAGTGGGTTTGCGTCAAAATGGATCTTATGCACTCTATCTTTATAATTTGATTCGATTTATTATTTTGGGGGATAACTGTTGTCTGTAGACTTACGTGTTGTATACAACCTTCTACGCTAAGTGCGATATTACGTTTTATCCCGTCTGTTCGTTATACCCATATGGCCTTGCCATCACTGTAAATGTTAATAAAATTGCATTAGTCTTGAACGCCTGATCGGTCAAAGTTCAAGTTACTGTTCCTTATGAAAGAAGAGTTTAATCATCTCTATCATATTTCGGTTAAACTTCAAAAGTCTTGGAAATACTTCGGACAAATTTGAGAACCGGTGTGATATGTTTTAGTTTAAACATATTTTATTTAAATAATTTAAAAGGAATTGGACACAAGTTATTACAACTTTAAAACGTCCTTTTCCATTAACAATTACATAATGGCATCAACAATGCAATGGGCAGCATATTTTATATACGATAATATTTATACATAAAAATAACATTTATATACATAGATTGAAATATATATTATTGACATACCAGTTCCCACTTCAGTGACTTTTACATGATATACAATTACAGTTTTAATAATTTGGCAAAGTAATGTCGTAATTATACAAGCATTGTCATAGTAATGTCGTAATAATACCAGCGTTGGCAAAGTAATGTCGTAATTATACAAGCATTGGCAAAGTAATGTCGTAATAATACCAGCATTGGCAAAGTAATGTCGTAATTATACAAGCTTGTCATAGTAATGTCGTAATAATACAAGCATTGGCAAAGTAATGTCGTAATTATACAAGCATTGTCAAAGTAATGTCGTAATAATACAGGCATTGGCAAAGTAATGTCGTAATGATACAAGTATTGGCAAGGTAATGTCGTAATAATATATGTACAAGCATTTGCAAAGTAATGTCGTAATAATACAAGTACAAGCATTGGCAAAGTAATGTCGTAATTATACAAGCATTGTCATAGTAATGTCGTAATAATACAAGCATTGGCAAAGTAATGTCGTAATAATACAAGTATTGTCAAAGTAATGTCGTAATAATACAGGCATTGGCAAAGTAATGTCGTAATGATACAAGTATTGGCAAGGTAATGTCGTAATAATATATGTACAAGCATTTGCAAAGTAATGTCGTAATAATACAAGTACAAGCATTGGCAAAGTAATGTCGTAATTATACAAGCATTGTCATAGTAATGTCGTAATAATACAAGCATTGGCAAAGTAATGTCGTAATAATACAAGTACAAGCATTGGCAAAGTAATGACGTTATAATACCAGCATTGGCAAAGTAATGTCGTAATTATACAAGCATTGTCATAGTAATGTTGTAATAATACAAGAATTGGCAAAGTAATGTCGTAATAAAACAAGCATTGGCAAAGTAATGTCGTAATAATACAAGCATTGGCAAAGTAATGTCGTAATAATACAAGTATTGGCAAGGTAATGTCGTAATAATACAAGCATTTGCAAAGTAATGTCGTAATAATACAAGTACAAGCATTGGCAAAGTAATGTCGTAATAATACAAGCATTGGCATAGGAATATGTTGACCCTTAACACATCATCGCATAATTGCTAAATGATGTTTTATATATGTATATCAAAGTAACAGACGAAATATGAAATTGTTGCGAATAGTAAAACGTATAGATATAATATAAGTAATAGGTTAAAGGTCAAAGGTTAGAAAGTTTAAATTAAAGTAGAAATTTACCGTCACATTCATTGTCATCACCCAAGTGACCGAAATTTTCGGTTAAATACAATGATAGAATTCCACAGGTACATGTAAGATAGCTTGGACACGTTGGAATAATAACGTTATCGTCAGAAGTCAAGGCCACTGTTACTAAAATAGAATATCACCTTGGATACAGGAAAAAGCGTGGATAAATTCTTTCTCACTTTCTCTAGTTCCAATTTCATACAGCGACTAGGAGATGGGTGAAAATAATGAAGAACATGTCCAATCTGGAATATTCGTTTAGGGAAAGTGCCGATGGTTCCTGATTGCATAGCCTATAGTCTGTCGTGAATTGAGTTTGATTTGATACTAGCGTAAAACAAATCCACTCACGAGTACCAATATATACATTTCAGAGGTGATGGTGCGCGTGAGGTTCGTAGGAGGCACGGGACCTTTCGAGGGCCGCGTGGAGGTTCTGTACCGGAACCGCTGGGGGACAGTTTGTGACGACGGCTGGGACAACACTGATGCAGGCGTGGTGTGTCGCATGGCAGGCTACACGTAAAATTGAAATATTTTATCAAAGTCAGATGAAATCAGTAAAAAATAAAAAATAAACAAATACAGTTCAATTAATCCTGTTCATATACAACCATTTGACTCTCATTCTTGTGTCAGGAAAACACGAGAATCACATTGTGTCAAAAAGACACATGTATAAATTATAACCTGTCAATTTAGGTATTTCCAAACAGCCACTAGTGTCTCTTGCCTTTGAACAGTTGGCAAGGACATTCTACATCTTACGTGTACATTTATATAATGTGATTTTTACAGGTTGGGCGGTGTAGCCAAGTCCAAGGCCTATTTCGGAACCGGAAGTGGCACCATATGGCTGGATGACGTAAATTGTAATGGGACGGAAGACACTTTGGACGACTGCCCCTCCAACCCATGGGGAGATCACTCTTGTTACCATCAGGAGGACGCTGGAGTCATGTGCTACGTCGATCCCTCATTCTGTAGGTACACCTGTTTGTCGATGGTACAGTAAACATTTAGTGTGATTGGCTGATTATTTCAGAGAAGAAACGGATGACGGGAAATTATCAGGTCCCTGTTGTATATTTACGTCATTTTACCTGAATTTTCCAAAACACTTGTATCTCTTTACATGCATGTCCAACTCGTTTGCTTTTCTAATTATATCTGTGGTTAAATACAGTTGAATTTATTCCGTCTTTGAATTTGACAAATTCCTTGTAACATGTTCATATTTGAATCATTTTATTGCCGAACGACCTTTTCGCGCCAACTGAACGTGTCACGTTTGTGTTGGGAGAAACAAATGTCGTATATATGTGTTATATTAACACATTAAATGTTAATGTTGAATCTGCTAACGTTACATCTATTGAATGCAAATGACGGAAATATCAAATGTTGCGTTTTAGCTGGAGGGTTGCGGTTATCTGGTGGACGGCTACCCGGTGAAGGTCGAGTGGAGTTCAACCGACTAGGTGTATGGGGCGCCCTCTGTGACGAAGGATGGGACGACAGGGACGCAACAGTCGTGTGCCGGATGCTGGGTTTGTAAGTATCAAAGGCCACGGACATTTTTAGTCGTTACTAATTGTCCAGTATGTCATGTGACATGGTGATGTTTTTGACGAAGTTACGTATGAATCCTACGTGCATGGATGCGCAGTTAGTTGACTTTTAGAATTCGAAGTTAAACGTTATAAAGTGTGGCACTAATATGGCTTACCTAAACATCTTAGTCTAGATCACGTACACTGTATCTGGTCAGGCAAAGCCCAATGAATTAGTATTAAATAACCTTACTTGAAAAATGTAATACGTTTTTTTGTGTGGTTTTTTTTTTTTGTCTACAGTGACAACGGAGGGTACCGGAACAGACCGGAAGCGTACAGCTACACTAACCAACCAGCATGGATGACAAATGTCCGTTGCTATGGAGACGAGCTGGATATTTTCCACTGTGGACATCTTGGATGGGGTCCTCATGTCTGTCCCAATGATAACTACGCAACAGTGACTTGCGCATAATTGTGTTTACTTGAATTTCTCACACTTGTTCCTATGAGAATAACACAGAATTCGACGTATGCATGATTGTAAAAACCGCGTGTTTTCATGGTTGTTAGCAATCGGGTACAGTCGGCACATTCCGTAAACGAGAAATACGTTTATGGAAAGTGTCGACGCTTCCCGATTGTAAATTGAGAAGATATTCTATTCAACTATTTCTAAATAATTGAGCATATGTTTTGAACCATCGTAATAGATTTGGTTTGTTGAGGTGGATAGCTGTAATATGTGTGTTCATCAATTCATGTGAACCCTCCTTATCAAAGGAATTTTCACCTCCCCCTGAAAGTTTCGAGACGAGGGCACCCATGATATCACCTAGACCGGTGATATTTGTCCTGCATCTTGCTGTTGAAGATGTCTATCAGATTCATTCGCATCAGTTTAGGAAAAGTCAAGAGTTTTGACGATGCCAAATAATACGATGCGTGTAATTTTCACACTTTCGCCAAGTAACTTGTGCTAAAAAGGAAAGCAGACGCGTTTCCTTAGTACTTTGTTTATAGAGCGTAACAAACATTACTTTGGCATTCCTTATATTTTCATTTGAAAGACCGACACTGTTTTATACATTCACTTTTTATTTGTTCACTTTCGAAAACCAATTTACAATAATGTTAATCAATGTGTATGACGTCATCGTTTTGTAGTTTTTTTGTGTTTAGGTCACCTCCTGTAGAGTCGGACAAATGCTTTGGAAAGGCAAAAGTAGATTGTTAAAATTTGAACCCCATTTAATCACGTTCAGACTTCCAAAAGTCATCTATAAAACCATGGGGTGTTGTTTATCCCGTATGCAGTAACTCTGGGGTTAAGCGTCGTGAGATTTGTTCATATAGATGGCCTTCAGACTCGCTATTAAGGTCACATGTGTTAAATATTGTAAAGATGTAGTTGGATCTACATCTTCTGTATCTATGTGGTATAGAGTAAATACATTCGGCCGATGAGAATTGTTTTCTCAAACAAAACACATCAGCACAAACTTTCAACGTAATGGCCGAGGTGGATTGCATTATAGAAGATTTGTCGACAAATTCCTTTACTTCATCTTTAATGAATCGTGAAAAAATCGTGACCTTTTCGATATATCCATGCTGTCCATTGTATGTGTGGACTGTTTCACGTATCGAAACATCAAACTCTGACGCTTAGGAATTGACTTCAGCCACAAAGCGTCATACCATTGTTCACTCTTAGTGTTAAAACTGTAAGCCTTGTTCAATAAAAACATTTTTCAATAAAATGTCTATTAGTAAGATAAATAAACAGGAGTTGTCCGTTTTTCTTCAACTAAAATGGGGTTTTTTTCAATCAAGAGAAAACGACGGAAATTTATGTTGGACTATATATTATCGACGAAAATATGTGTTAGACTATATATTATCGACGGAAATTTATGTTGGACAATATATTATCGACGGAAATATGTGTTAGACTATATAAACCATGGAAATTTATGTTGGACTATATATTATCGACGGAAATTTATGTTGGACTATATATTAACCACGGAAATTTGTGTTGGACTATATATTAACCACGGAAATTTGTGTTGGACTACATATTATCCAGGGAAATTTATGTTGGACTATATATTATCGACGGAAATTTATGTTGGACTATATATTAACCACGGAAATTTGTGTAGGACTATATATTATCGACGGAAATATGTGTTAGACTATATATTATCCGCGGAAATTTATGTTTGACTATATATTATCGACGGAAATTTATGTTGGACTACATATTATAGACGGAAATTTATGTTGGACTTATATATTATCGACGGAAATATGTGTTAGACTATATATTATCGACGGAAATTTGTGTTGCGACTATATATTATCGACGGAAATTTATGTTGGACTATATATTAACCACGGAAATTTGTGTTGGACTATATATTATGAAGATCACACATACGTATACGTTATCAGATATCAATCAGCTATAGTTTAAATATTCACATATGAATGTATCAAATTCATCTTTGACGTAGTGTCTGAAAGGCTTTGTCATTGCTCGACGTCCTTTAATCGTCATTCCGCTGATTGTCTGGCGTCCGTTCATCGATTTTTGTTCATTCAAACAACTTCTCATTAAGAACAAGTATGCTTAGCGTCATATTGGCTAGTAGCTTGTTATGGAGAATACTTTGTTATGTTTATCTAAATTATGTTGACATAAGTAAAGTAACTGCAGCTTTACACAAAGATCGAACCTGGTCAAGAAGTAGATAACGGTAAATGAAACATTAAATATCGGTCTAACGCCATCAATTACATGGATATCAATGATGTGTTTTCCCGTATATATCAGAATCTCTTCTTAAACACAATTTTAAAAGTTTCATAATTTGCATTTGTTAAAAGAATCGGTTTAATTCCCACTTTCTTTATCCATACTCAGACACAAAGTAATGAACGAATAGATTCGGACATACTTAGTGTTTCGCCACTTGTGCACAAATTACATTTCCATACGAAATTTTCATATATGTTTTCAGTTGCACATACAGAATACCACCAGCTACCTCGATTTATATAATAATGTTCCACAAGGAATATTTATCTAATTCGATTTGACGTGGAAAAGGAAGATTTTGCCAAAAAGATATTTGACCAATATCTTGTCCGCATTGCATTGCCAGTGTCGTCTTCTTTGTCGCGAGATCGTTATATTAAAATGCTCAATATTCATGCAACAGTTTTGTGGACATTTTGCACGAGACGTATATAACCTTATATCTCTCTGCTTGTATGGCACCGTTCACATTGTTCACATGATATGTTCCTATCGGCTGCCATTTTACACAATTTAAAGCCGCTTTCAACATACAGATCCGGGATAAGGTAATTACATGTAGCTACTAAGTAGAGCGGTGATGGAAATCACCAGGTGATGTGAGAAAATTGGCGTCTGTCTCTCATCCATAGACACTAATGGGACATTACCATAAGGTAACCCGTCCTTATCTACACACGCGGAGCGGTATTCAGCTGATTGCTAGTTAGGGTTTCGGGTATCGAGTATGGAAACCCTACCTACACACGTGTTTACTATGTGTTACCTGTTATACAGGTAGATAATGCAGATACTGAATGTGCTGGCTTCAGACGTCCATGTTCAGGTACTGCTAAACATGTGAGTTATACAGACGATGTATGTGTATATTGGATATGTACCGGTCCGTCACAGTGAGTGAACACCACAGGTGAACTGGTGGCAAAAGCTATCTTAGCGTTACAAAGCTGCACGAGAAATCGACATAAGACGACACTGGACAGTAACCTGTGAATATAACTAGCGTTAACGTTGCTTACATAGTTGACTACCATCATGGATCGAACCCGCAGTCATTTAACAATTGCTTGTAACTTTTGGATTTCGATAGGCGTCGCCCAATGGATTGCTCGAGCAGCTTCCGGTTTAACGGAGTACACCATGCCATGTGTCTGTCTAACAGAACCTGTAAAGTCCGGATCACTTGACAGTCCGATCCTCCTTCTCGAAAACACCGACAAATGGGGCGGATATCTGGTGGCCGAGCAGAATGGCAAGATACACGCTTACACTTCCGCATGGAAGAAACACGAAGAGTTGTTTCTGGACTTGAGTGACATTGTGGCATTTGACAATCAAGACCCGACGGACGAGAGAGGGCTTTTATCGTTCGTGTTACACCCGGCGTACCGTGAAAACGGGAAGTTTTATACGTACTCTACTCGGACGTATGACGGACAAGACTACATCGTGGTGTCTGAGATAAAGGAGACGGACGGACGAGGAGACTTATCCACGGAGAAAATTTTACTGGCCATCCAGCAGCCATCTGCCAAACGGAACGGTGGAACGGTAAGTCCATGGCGTTGTGAAGTTTGTCTGAAAAATAATTCAATCATGCCACTGTTTTCATTTTCCTTTGTTGTTGTACCGGATCTTTTTCGTTTAGTACAGTTTTGCGAAATTGTCTGAAAAACTCGAAATCACGTTGCAAATATTACGTCGAGTTTAGATGCTCCATGCATCTAAAAGGCATGTACACGTGTAAACATGAAAAAGAACTTGAAAATCGCTTAATCATTGTAATATCATCTTTCACAGTGTACTTCATATCAAGAATATTACATGGACGATGATATATATTATAAAGTTTTAGGCCGACTATATCGGCTGAAATAACTGATCTGAATTTGATACGAATTCATTACGCTTCAAACGAATATGTACAATGTCAACGCATTTTTTTCTATCGTATGTGTGGATATTATTATGTATCTCTAGGAATATGATTCCAAAAATGAATTAAATACTCCACCAGTCAAATTTCCAAATTGCTTATTAAATGCAATTGATCAAATTTAGGTTTCTGAACAAATTATATGTTGGTACATGTATTTACATGGGGCTCGTTATTACATACAGATTTTGGCGTAATGCTCGCCATTTTGGTATATTTACATTCTGTGTTGCATTTGCCTATATCATATGTTGTTAGTAAACCAAATTCCAGTATATGAGACTGTATACTGCAAGTTACAGTGATTCGGTCAGTGTAGGAATACAGCTCCAGGTGTCCTAGTCAAACACACATGGTCACCAGATGCTTTCGGTATCAAAACTTTCTGAATTCGTTGGCATTTAGCAAATACATGTAATCTATCAATGCCCGAAAAACAGCTTTAATTTTAAACAAGCAGAAATTATGCAATTATTACCAGTTTTTCAACATATACACACTCATATGAAATAAATAATAAAGTTAAGTTTGTGTTATGTGCGTATGGTTTACGCCCTCATATCGACTGTATACTGCATCTGGTAACAGTTCAATGCTTAAATGAAGTTTTATTTCGTTACTCCATATTGCTTATCTTTCTTTCTACTTCTAACTACCTTTTATTTCCTAGCACCTTGCTTGACAACAACCTCACTTTTTGTCTTAATGTTGAGCGTTCGCCCATGTTAAGGAAGGCAATGGGTTCTGTCCCCAGGCCGGGACATACCAAAGTCCTTAAAATGGTAGTTGTTATTCCCTGCTTAACGTTCAGCATTTAAGGTAACGGCAACAACTGGTTCACCAGTTGTCAATATAATGTGACCGGACGGAATGCTGTGCTGGGTGCCTTCGGCATGGTATTTCAGTGAGATAGCACTATAAAGTCGGCATCTGATCCGCGCTATCACAAGGAGGCAAGCACATCAACATATCCTGTATCCTGCATGCACACACGCAAGCACGCATATACTACACACATGAAGGCACGTCCTTAAATGACCTTAGCTGTTAATAATACGTTAATCAAAATTAAACCAAACCCTATTGCTAGCCTGCTGTCGATCATCGCTCTTTAAACGGATTGACCGTTGTGACAACAGTAAGGTCTGGTGGTATGGTGTTGGTTTCTGGCAAACGGCCTGTAAGTTCCGGGTTCTCTCATTGTTAAAATTAATTGGCTATGTCAGATGGACAAAAAAGATAGGGTACATCCAAAATGGTTGTTGTCTTACTTGCGGTATGTATGTGACGTTTCGATCCCTAGGTATTGTTTGGACCGGATGGTTACCTGTACATCAGTGTAGGGGATGGAGGGGTGCCAGGAAACACGGGCAACGAGCAGATGGCAGGTCAGGCTCAGGACGGGTACGTAGTCTGATTGTGAGTCAACCTAAGTCGTCAACTAAAGTCGTTTATAACATAAAATGGTAAAGGGAAGGGGTTTATTTCGCGTATTGAAACGTGATCTTTGTACATACTGTATCAAATTTATGCGATGTTGAAATGGGTCGAACAATATTTGTTTTCCTGCAGACATAGTTTTCTTGGCAAAATATTGAGGATAGACGTGGACAATTGGGAGGTTAAAGATGACATTTTGCGCTACTTCCGGATTCCGCCCGAAAACCCTTTCATTGGCAACCAGAGCTTCCGGCCAGAGGTGTATGCGTACGGCTGCAGAAACATGTTCCGGTGCAGTTTTGATGAAGGTATCCGCATAGAATTGAGGTGTTCAGAGTAATTATACATGTTTTAGGATTTTAGGACAATTTTGGGTAAAAATGCCATCTCGTTGTTAAATTACTCGGAACACTTCAATTTTGGGTTGGCATTTTACCGAAGATTGTCTTAAAACCCTAAAACGTATTAAATTACTTTGCCACTTCAATTTAGGTTAAAATATAGCTGTAACATATTCTCAGGTCCCTGCGTACAAAACGGCAGGAAATAGGAATATTGGAACTAAAGCAGCTGCAGAAAATACATAGAAAGAAAATATCAAGAGGCAAAGTACTGATATTTCAAGTATTAGTATCAAGTCAGGTTATTCATTTACCGTCTGGGAAAAACCAAACTGTTCATTATCAGACAGTAAAAGTATGCTGTAGCAATGAAATATAACTGATCATGATATACATGTATGCAGACTTGCTCTCCAATTCTGTCAAAATATGTTTCAGTTTTCCTTAACTCTCACTGATCATGTCATACCCTGTAGAGACACATCTACATGCGGAAATAAACCTATCAAAACTACTTCCAAAATCAAATGGTCGTGCCCCGACAGCCTGATACACAAGACTAAATGTAAGATCAATGTGATTTTCGAACATATTCCGTTTTGTTTGTTTATATATAATGCTGATCCCTTCTTAGAACCGATGTATTTTTGTCATTTTACATATAATAATTGGTACTATGACCTTTAACCCCTCTGTAGGAAGTCCAGGAAAGGAGATGTACTGCGGAGATAACGGAAATCACGACCAGGAGGAAATCAATATCATAAAGGAAGGCGGTAACTATGGCTGGAACAAAAAGGAGGGAAACGTCTGTTTATCACCGGGAAATTGTCATTTAGGTACATTTACTTAAAAAAAATAGGATCTGCTTGATAAACTTTCACTCTATGAAGCATACGGTTTAACCTACAACTGATGTCATTAAAGATACTGGGTACATTCATCATCACTCGAGTAAAAATAAAATGACTCCAAATTCCTACAACACGATATTGATGTAAACTTAATCCCATTTACTGATCAACTGGTATAGTTATGGAGTCGTGTACACGGGTCAGGTCAAGCCACACCACTGTCCGATCTCAAAGGTTCTTACTGGCTTCTTTGGTGTTGATGATCTACTCATGTTGTTGTTTTTGTCAATCGGGAATTAACCGTCGGCACTTTCCGTAATCGAGACAATATTTTCTCGTTTATGAAAGTGCCGACAGTGCCCGATTTATTTTGATTTTGTGTGTGGGTTTTTTACGAGTGACAATCTATCCACAGAGAACGAAGTACCTCCTATATACACGTTCAACAACTCGGAGACGCACCATGCTGTTATAGGGGGGTACGTGTATCGCGGATCAGCATTCCCAGCCTTTAAAGGACATTACCTGTTCGGGGACGTTGCAGGGTCAGTATTATAATATTTCTGGGTCATTTTATACTGTGTAATGTAAATGTTCAGAATGGTAGCAACGAAGAGACATTGGAAGAATATAATACCACACATGTATAGACATGTTCATCATTTGTGGTAGGTTCTATATTAAAGTTAGAATACGTAGGCTTTGTACACAGGGACTGAGAATTTGTTACAGCTATATTTGGACGTAAACAAAGGTGTTTAGAGTAATTCTACTCGCTTTAGACGTACCTATATCATCATTGGGTTGGCATTTTTTTACCGAAACTTGATCTAAACCCCTAAAACGCGTAAAATTACGTATACTCTAAACACATTTGTTTACGTCCAAATATAGCTGTAGCAAATTTTCGGGTCCCTGTGGTTTTGTACAGGCTGATTTTGATCGTGCATGAATGTACCATGAGCGAAAAAATATATATACTGTTATATACATGTATATAGAAACTAATATTTACATTTTCATTTTCCTACAGGGGGTTGATGAGTCTCGACAACACTACAGGCCAGCTAGTACGACACAACATCTCAATTTGCCCAGAGGGCTCATGTCCTTGTGACGCACGCGCTGAATACGGCAATTTCTTGCGCACGCTTAGTCAAGATAACAATGGTAATATATTTAATTCAGAACATCATCTCCAATCACGGAACAAAAGGAAAACGATGTGTTATTTAGTAAATAAATATCATTCAACTTGGAATGACAGCATTTGCTCCTGAACTCTGAATAAAATATTCAGCTACTGACAAATGTGTTTGTTTGATATCAAAAATCGATTTAGACATATTACGAATATTAAAATGATGTTACCATTTTAAGAATTTAATCAGTTATTTTGTGAAACTTTTGTGTATTTTCCACAGGAGAGCTCTATGTGATGACCACGACATTTGGAGCGAGCGGCCCCTCCTCAGCAGTTCTTAAATTAATGCCGAAGAGGTAGGTTGGTTGTGGTAATCTTGTGTGCTTTACGTTATACTAGTTCCATAACAACCCTTCAAGAGTCAGCACTGCAGGTTCATGGGGTGGGGGTGGGGGAATAAGCCGGTCTGCTCTCGTCTCGCCAGAGGGCGACTGGTGCTGTACCCTCTGCAGGATCGGGGTTTTCCCCTTGTCTTCCGCTTTTGGGACAGAAGAAGCCGAAGTTAATAGGCTGCCACCATTGATACACTCAGGATCTATATGTTTTTTGCACCCGTCTTCATGTAACTTAGCTATTGTGAAGGACGTTAAACAAACAAATGTTTTAAAGTTTCACATCCATACACAATACACTGAACGGCAGAAGTGGTTTTAATATTTTCAATGTAGGCTTATTTATACTTCCCGGAATATTGAAATATCTTTTTGTTGTTAATCTAACAAAATTTCAATATTTGCATGAGGATATAAAAAATCCACTTTTACAGTATACGGCATATTCGTCTCAGATGTCATATGTAGGACTAACGGTGTTGTCTCCCCTGTTCTTGACGGCGGTGGTGGTGGTGGTGGGGTCATCTTCACATGACATCCAACGCTACAAGTGTTAGGTTTTACCAAAATAATTAAAAATAACATCCTAAAAAATGTATGTAGATGTCCGTCAGAATTAAACGAGTCAGATTTTCCACTTGTAAATACAATTGAACAATTATGATATTAAATAATGATAGAAGCAAAACGTATTATTTACAAATGGATGACAGTTACCTAATTCGTCCATCGTCATGTGGCCTAAGCTGTCGCGAAGATATCCAAAACAGACAAACTCACCAATAGACTTCATTTTAGATAACACATGTCTAAGTGTGATAGCATTTTTTTTTATTTTTTTATTTCAGTGCCAGCCCGGTCACGTGTGCAGCAGGAATGGCCCAGCTGTCCCTGACATTGACCACATTCATTGGTCTACTTGCTCACGTCATGAAGAACATATTGAGTTAGAGCGTGGCATGCTGAGTATCTCCTGACAACTCGAAAAGCCGAATACCTCTACCCAAGCAACATGTTGAAATAGTTCGGAAATGAAGTTTGATATGTCGCAGGTCATTTCGCGGTTGCATACCAGATTCTTTACCATAATGCTAATCACATCACTTTTGCAAGTACTTGTTTGACCATTATAATTCCCCAACGGAACTAAATGTTTGTTTCTGGATTATGGGCTGAATTTGACCCCCACAAAAGAGGATGTGTAATTCGCGATTACATATGGACCTGGTTTGTCACATAGCAGTCAGAGAACAAAGGCCCGTAGAGCTCCATTCCCAAACATGTGGGCGTGAGCTAAGTTCTCATCGTACTGGAACAGCACCAGGTGACAGTCTTCAAAATGTTTCATTAGAGAAAACGACGAATACCCATGTCAGGCTGACATCAAATATCTTCGAGCTTGCACTGTTTATGTTGCATTTCAAAACCTATAGACGGTCATTTGTGTTTTACGTTTGCAAAACCACTCAAGATCATACATGAATGGTGGTGATGTTATGGAATATTTCAAACACGTTGTCCTGTAGGCGGAACTGTGAACAATAGCCTGTACTTAGTTGTTTTGGACTGATTTCGACTGTTTTAGTTGTCTTTGATAATGAAGACAATTTCAGCATGAGGCTGCAGTGTCCTCAATACTTTCTGAAGGCTTATTGTACACGTCATTTATGATCGACATTAGGAAACTTTTGTCGTTTAGTTAGCCCGAGTTTCCTCTGGCCCTAACACCAGACTTAGACTTTTTGACATGAATATGTCTGGTGTGGGGTCAGAGTGCACTGCTCTATGAAAATGTGGAATTCTCCGACACCGTTTGTTGTTAGGGCCAGAGGAAACTCTGGCTATCGTTTAGGTTGTCTTTTGACGTTAATCACGAACACCATCCGTTCAAAAAATAAATGGAGCGGTAACTTATTCAATAGGCTTTGTATAGTGAGTAAAAAATAAGACAAGTATTAAAATTATGTTTTCAGTTTTTTTTTCAAAACGGCTATTGATCTCAGATGTATTCTTTCAAAACTGTATTTGGACGTATTCTGTACACTAGAATCGTAAAGATCTACTGCTTTACTTACCTTTCTCTGGTAAGCGTAAAGTGAGTTAACGTATTGTAACACTGCACAGGAGTGCTACTTTTGTCTTATACATGTAAAATATGTGTACGTGATCACAAAATCTTGGTACGTGATGATAACATATTGGATCGTGATGATGAAATAATGAACGTGAGGATACATTTTGTGAACAAAATGATAAGTTAGTGAAACGGCTGAGAAGCCATCTTTTACCATGGTTAAAGGTGATAAAATGTCACGGTATAATGTCACGTTAACAACGATAAAACGTGATAAAACGTCATAATATAATGTCTCATAAACAACGCTAAAATGTCACTGTATAATGTCACGTAAACAACGGTAAAACGTGATAAAATGTCACTGTATAATGTCACATAAACAACGGTAAAACACGATGAAATGTCACTGTATAATGTCACGTAAACAACGGTAAAACGTGATAAAAAGTCACTGTATAATGTCACATAAACAACGGTAAAACACGATAAAATGTCACTCTATAACGTCACGTAAACAACGGTAAAACGTGATAAAAAGTCACTGTATAATATCACGTAAACAACGGTAAAATGTGATAAAATTTCACTGTATAATGTCACTTAAGGATGTACTCTTCTGAGGTTTCAGTCACGTTTTGATCTGGTGTAACGGGTTTTTGTAATATTTATCAAATTATGATAGGTTTAATAGCAAACACACATCTGAAAAACATGTCAAAAAACTAGATGTCTGTTGTGTGTAGAATTTTTTTTTACAAGAATTTGAAAAAAAATGACCAATTTGGCGGTCATTTTGAAAAAGTGTATTTATGTGAATATCTTGCGCTTCACAAAGGGCAAAATTTCACCTTTTTTGACACTAGATTAATCACTTAAATTGTCATTGTGTCGCCATTTTTAAATGTAGCAGGTTCAATTTTGCTGTACAACTTTATAATGTTCAATATGATTAAAATAATATGCAAAAAAGTGGAAAGTTATATATTATTGGTATTTTTTTTTTTACATAGTAGGGTAACTGAAGCACTTTTGATTTTTGACTCCGAAAAAGGTGAAAAATAACACAAATAATAATGGGATAAAAAAAGAAGCACACCGACCCCCCATTTTTGTGGCTGTTTTAGAAAGAGAAACACTTTTTCTTTTGATTCATTGAATACCAAAAAAAGTTTAATACAGGATTTTTTTTATATCAAGCGTTTAATCTGCAAAAAATGCTGAAAAAATGTGCATTTTTCATTAAAAAATAAGGGGTAGGGGTAACTAAAATCGCATTTCTGAGTAAAATGAATAAGATTAAAAAAAAATATTTCTATAATTTAAAAGAAAATAATATTTTTATCAATTCTACAAACATTCATACATATCTGATAACACACTTGGAAGAAATTGTATGAATTTGTTCTGCAAATAGTCAAAACCCGAAAATTCACCTCGATATAAGAAAAAAAGTTTAATACAGGAATTTTTTGACTTCTCAGAGGTGTACAAGACACGGACATATATATTCTTTTTTGCATTTTCTACTATGCCATTATCTCCTTTTTCCAAAAATCGATATAAGAAAAAAAGTTTAATACAGGAATTTTTTGACTTCTCAGAGGTGTACATCCTTAAACAACGGTACAACGTGATAAAATGTCACTGTATAATGTTACGTAAACAACGGTAAAATGTTATCAAATGTCACTGTATAAAGTCACGTAAACAACGGTAAAACACGATAAAATGTCACTATATAATGTCACTTAAACAACCGTAAAATGTTATAAATGTCACTGTATAATGTCACTTAAACAACGGTAAAACGTGATAAAATGTCACTGTATAATATCACGTAAACAACGGTAAAACGTGATAAAAAGTGACTGTATAATATCACGTAAACAACGGTAAACGTCGTAAAATGTCAATGTATAATGTCACATAAACAACGGTGAAACGTGATAAAATGTCACTGTATAATTTCACATAAACAACGGTAAAATGTTATCAAATGTCACTGTATAATGTCACGTAAACAACGGTAAAACGTGGTAAAGAAGTGGACTGTCTAAACTAAGTAGTAGCTATAATATCACGTTAAGAAATATAAAACGTGATAAAATGTCACTGTATAATGTCACATAAACAATGGTAAAACGTGATAAAATATCACTGTATAATGCCACGCAAACAACGGTTAAACGTGGTAAAGAAGTGGACTGTCTAAATTAAGAAATAGCTATATGGTTGTAGACACATGTTGTACATTTATAACACCACTACTATTTTTTTTTTAATTTGTAATTAATTTCAACCACCGCCACATGATATACAGTATATATTATACCAGCAAATATGTAAAATGAATACGTATATAATTCGTGTTTTATTTATGCTAATTAATCAAAATCACTTGGATAAGTAAATGTGTGGCATTTTGTTTTCAGAATAACTTTTTTGACATTAATGGAACCGGTAACTTCTATTTGTTATTTCCGATGATTGTGTGAGAATGTTACCATGGAATGCAGGAAATAAATGCATTCTAAAATATTTCTTTTTTTGCGTAAAATAATTTCTTTTCTGGCATAAAATCATTTCTCCTTCTTTTTATGAAGTTATAATATTACTAATGGTTTTGTATACATTGGTAAGTTTTTATATCAAAAATGAATGTACATGTACAAATAAATGGAATAAGAAACTACTTACAAAATCACCTTTTATGTATTTATATAATATATTTATATCGAATTAAAATTCTTTATATTATCAATTAAAATAAACAGATTTAACTCTTTCCGTACCGCTACTCCGGTCCGGATTCCGTAGCGGATGTACTTAGACTCGCCCCTGCGCATATAACAAAATGGCGGATTTTTGATGTACTTTTTAGACTAGGTGTAACTGCCGCAAGAATTAAACAGGTAACCATGTTATTGTTTCATGTTCTGGTTCATAGACAAACACTTCTTCATTTTCGCAGCATAATGAGAAACTGGCAGCTGATTATGACTGAGAAATCGACATTTGTCTGGCAATAAACGATACGATTCCTTGTATTTAACACAGCGTTGTAATGCAGGTTTCCAATGGGGATTGATTATGGTTACGAATGTGGAGTCGTTGAGTTTTTTTCTAAATACAAGTAGATTTCATCAAGACTTATATTAGAATAAGTCTCAACAAATATCTGATGATGAATTTACGAAAATATTAAGTCGAATAATAAAAAGTGTACACTGCACAAATAAAATTATTTCTTCCAAACTGATGGGTTCTGATTTTAGCGACAATTAATTGTTTTTTCGCGACAGTCTCATCCGATAACCACCTAAACATCAGGCAGGTTACATCCAAGTCTCTTGTCGTGTGTACACGACAACGGGGATGAGACGGCCCTTTATTTTGTCGTCTGAACACGACAACGAGGACCAGGATGACATATTGTTGTCGTGAACACACGACAACGGTATGGAAAGAGTTAAGAGATGGTCTACAGACTTTTCTTTGTGTAACCAGGACTGGGAAATGAACATGGCAGATGTTCTCTAAAACAATTTTGCCCACTCTCGACAATACAATTTACAATAACTATTGACAACACGTGCTGACAAATAGTTTGAACAAATACTCATTGTAAGTTATATATAAACCTGCAAACAGAAAGGAAAGAAGATGAATTAAGAAATGAAAAAGAGAGCTGTTTTTGTTGTTTTGGCTATCCGCTTATTGGTTTCAAACATTTTTGTCGATTTTATTAATAAATATACAGCAGGTACGATATTGATATCTTTAAGGAATAAAAAAAAAAATGGCACCTCAAACATACAATAGTATTGAAATAGGGAATGGCTGAATACCAGTGGTTACAAGAGCATTCTATAATCCTATTCGCGGACTTGAAATAATTGAACAGACAAAAAAAATGACATGCATCTTCATTACCATCATCACAATGTAATGTTGATATAATCTCTCATCCTCTTGGGGATGAGATATGGGAATCTCAACCCGAGGGGGAAGATGCTTAATTTGTCAAACATGAGGCTTTGTCGAGTGTTTAGCAATTAAAGAATCTTTCCCGGGGTTGATATCCCCCTATCTTTGATTCTGCTTTTTCTTAACATGTTCACCCGATGTGTATCATATGCATACTGTTATGTTAACGTTACAGGCTAAATTCCGGGTTGACGTGACGTTGATGGATTGTTGACGTGACGTCATACAATTGTTATTAATAGGGGGTGAATCTGTAATTTCTAATTAGATTTTTATCAAGTTTGGATTTACTTGGCGGGTGTCGTCGGTGAAGCAGAAGACGATTAACCTTCCGGAGTACCTGGTCTAATTACCTTTGTATCTTTATCAAGAGTTGATAGGTAATATTCTTTGTCATATTTAGCCATAATTTTATATATTTTAAGATTTACAATTTTGTTAGCACTGAGTAATATTAATTTCAATTTTTAAATAGTATGAAAAACATTTAACTAGCGCAAAGTCATTGTTAAGGGGGAAAATGCAACTCTTGTCCGGTTAAAAAAGAAACATGGATATTCTAAGATATTAAACCAATACAATCATGATGGTAGAGGCTCCTGTCTGACTAAACAAGTTATTCTCTTGATATTGATCTTTTTAAGCAATGATTCAATGATTTTGTTTAGTGATGAACTAAACCATAATGGTTTTATAGTGATCAGTACATGATCGGCTATGCGACTTCTTACAAACAGGTACGTTTGGCTATCACGCAAGCTATTTTGTAAACTAAGGGACAAAATGTGGTCCTCTGCAGGAGGATACCGCGAAGTGTCTGGAAATAGTCATCAAAAATTCTGCATTTTTCAGCCTCCTTTCGCCCTGGGGACAGTCCTGCCTTGAGGATATTATATAGCCAAGGCTTCGCATACCTCAGGGTTTTGTCCACAAATACTTCTAGGTCGTCGGACCCTGTGTGGTCAATCAGAACATGATCAGATCACTTGGTAGACAGGTCAAATAACTACAAGTGGCAGGATTTTATAATTATAAAACGACCCCTTTGGATGGACAATGTTTAACCATTTTATGACAACCCGATTTATATAGTTCCACTGTAAATATGTGGATTCAAAACAATAAAGACGTTAAATAATTGTTACATATTTATCTTTTACTTTTCAGTTAATAACCGCCAGATATCTCGCAGGTAAAATTTCACTCAGTAGATAACAGGTTTCGAAAAAGATTTGAGGGTCTAGTTAAACCTCTGTGGAGCTCAAGAACAAATTACTACGTGAGACCATTTGATTCCGCTGTAAATGAGCTTGTCGTGGACGTTTAAGGCTGATCTCACTTTGCTGTTTTAATATTCAGTGACCTTAATAGCCTCTATGTAACTTAAAGGTTAATTTACCGCGTCTGTATAAAAATTAAGTGACAGTACCTGCGCCTCTTTCTACTCCTGGTATTACTTCCACATCTTTCTGGGTAAACTCAACTAAAGACAGAGAACCTTTCATGTCAGTGTTGAATGGTTGCAAGAGCTCGGCCATGGTTGGTTTGTAGGTAAAACTCGAGCTGCTCACAAACTCTTCCTGGTGACAATGGTATAAAATAAGCTACTTAGAACTGTTTTCAGAGTTTCACAAAACCTTCAATAATGATAAAACACACTGCCCTTCATATGATAGGTTTAGATTAACAGTATTTTGTTGTTGTTGTTTTTTTGGGTTTTTTTTTTTAATTTGAATGTTTACAATCAAGAGACGAACCTACAACAGATACCCATAACTAATAATCATAATAAGTTTATTCACATGACCAAAATTTGCAGTCGGAGAAAAACATATTTCAATAACTACATTTAGTTGGACGTTGCAATGCATTGTGATGTTGCATTTCTTGTGTGGTCAAATTGCAGAGTCAGGTCGTGATCTGCATAACCAAACGTCACTGTGGTGACGGTGGTTATTTTTTCTATTGTTGCATGGATATTACTTTAATTCACATTTTTACATTGTTACCTCAGTGATTTTTCCATTTTGCCAAAACTCTTTCCAGGTTTTAGTGTAGACATCATGCAAGTCCTCCTCAACGGCCTTTTTCTGCCCATTGTCATTAAATACGAATGAAATCACCATCATGTACCCTCCTGCAAATGGAATAATAACGATATGATACGAATATTGAAATAAAATGAATTAAATACCACGGAAGAGGATAGTTCAGCAATTTCGACGCAGGAGAAACTATCATCTTCCTTTGGTTATTTTTAGATGCGATATTTTACTTTGAAAAGACACCAAAATAATTCCATTCTTGTTCAGCTAAGGAATAATAAACAGTAATTTCATGCGTTTTCTTGAAAAGCATGTTAGGATCAACCGATAAACTATTTGCCATTATCGAAGGGAAATGTTCAGCGGGTAAACCAAGAACGCCGATGGTATTTCTTTTACTGGAACAGAATCCCAAACAAAACAAAGAATAAAGAAAAGCAAGTTGATAACTGTTTACATTAAAATTATTTACAAAACTTCCATTTGATTGTCTTTTAAGTATACGAGTAACAAAGGTGTTCGATGTTCAAATTCACTTGTGCACCAATTCCGTTGTTTTGAAATTTGATTATATAGAGTTACAGAATGTGCAGAAGGTAAACAGTTATTGAATATCACTGAAAGGAGGTCGAAGACTACCTGTCTGGTGGGGACAATAAAATGAGTATTTCCCGGTCTGTAACGGTTTTAATTGACTGATTAAAGTCAAAGTTACAGACAATCGCCTTATATTGACCGTACTGTAGCAAATGAATAATAGTTTTACCCGGTCGGAGTTCCAGAGACCGACAGGATAGGAACTGTATCCAATCAGTCTGCCACTGGTGTCGAAATGCTTCAAGTTCCTCCATGTCACAGTCACTCTGGAATAACCCGCCCCGGATAGGGCAGGGTCTATAAATCAGATATCATTTATAACGAAGCAACAACCCAATAACCACGGATAGTAAAGTGTGAACCGCTTTGAGACGACCTACGACCTAGGTTGTGATAAAGCGGTGTATAAGAACCTCGAGTTATTATTACATATAAGACGAAAACGTTCTCGTATGAAAACTGTTGGTAGATACATTGATCGTAATTAAATTTATCTATTTTATTACTGACCTGCACACTGTACTTTGAGTGCAATTTATGGAATAATTTCGTGTTATACAATATATATTTTTTTGTTATTAATTCTCTTGTTCTTTGTCAACCAATTAGACCCCTAACCTTTGACTGAGCCAGTGATTTGCCATTGACGAGAAAGCCAGATCGACAAAACCTGTTGGAAGGCATTTCCGGTACATGGTGGTCGCACTTGCCAGAACGTGCACTTGATCTCTTGTGGATAATTTAGTAGATATGTTCGAATCCTTGGCTGACGATACAAGAAACATATATAAGCAGAAAGTATTGTGTTTTTATAAAAATGACTTCGTGAAACAAATTGGTCATCAACAAAGAGATTGAAAACATGATTTTGGTTTAACTGTGTTTAAATTAATGCAACACATATGGTCACTTTGCGTAAAATGTGTTCTGTATTAAACCTGTCATTGTTCAAAAGAGATTTTATTTTCAAATCATTCCATTTAGAGTATTCTTGCTGAAATATCAAAAATGTTATCCATGAGATCATATTTGGAATAGCACATAATTAAGTAAAAAAAAGAGATTGCAACCTGTTAGGACATGTCTCCTTAAAATAGAAACCCGACGTACTATCACAGCACCGATTTTAAGTGACCTACCATGGACCGTCTGGAATAGAACATTGTAGTCGTTTAACAACTGATCTTCATAAACAAGGATAACTTCCCGTTGATCACTGGACATCTGGTGGATATTATCTGAAGAAAAACGGCATTAGAAGACTTCGTACAAATTCGTGACATCATGTAGTAAGGCAGTGCAGTTATTTAGACAAATGAAAACAGTTATTTCTACGCGTAATAGACATTTTTAAGTAAAAAAGATGAATAACGGCCCATCAACTTAATTCCTTGACCACCTGTTTCCGTTATCCTTGTCATGAGAGTCACATGGCTTTCCATTTTCCCCGCTCTATATCATCTGTTATTACAAGCGAAGGAATCATTTATGAACAAATGTAAGATGTAAAAACAAACTGCAAAGACTTAAAAAATCTTCATCAACTCATTATGTAGTCTTTCAAAAGTCTTTTACATGGAGAATTAATATCATAACCACAACGATGGCATTTGTGACAGAATTATCTTTTACTTGATCATGAAGAAAATACTCTGAGGCACTGAGCAGTGACGAAATGTATATATTATACGTTTTTGTACAACCCTTAATATCTTAGCATTTTAACAACATAGCGAGATTTTCTGCATCTGTCATTCAAGCAGGACTGGATTCACTAAAGGGCAAGCAACTCTTGTATATTATAGTGTTCACGTAGGAGAGTCATCTTTATCTCATGTCCTTCAGGACTCTTTTCAGTGGTGGAATGTCTATATCAGACTTGTTGTTTTTAGTGTTGCGTTTCACATTTTATAATTTCTTTACATGTGTATTCGATATTGGAATTATAAGTTAGATATTATTGTAACAAACAGACTCAATAAATAGTGTAATTTGAAAATGATTTTTTGTTTTCTATTGTATATCGTAGAATTTGGTTTGTTTTCTTTTAAAATCTACTGGAAATGTTTGTGTATTTTACAACCTTACACATATTTCATAATGTCGAAATGAAATGGTCTTCACAATACATATGATTGTTTGAGAATAATTATACACGTTTCTGCATTCTGTAATATAACATATAACATATTAAGTGTTATTTGTTGACAGGAATATTGATGACAGTAAGATATATACCAGACGTAATGTTGAATACAAAATGATCTTGTCGCTGTGTTAACAAACACCGGCTACACGTACCTATTACCGTGTCCATGAGCTCCAATGACACGCCTCCGTCAGCAGCTCCAAACTCAGCTATACATATCGTCCTGGAATTCTTATCCTCTTGTTTTAACAGATTATCTTCAAAATTAAAAACAAAATATGTATTTTAAAATATATCTCCTCTTCTCGGTTTGTGTCCTTTGTTACCAGTTTGATTGTATTGCCACTTTCGTGGTGAACGTATCTGTTTAAGGAATGTGTTATGTATTGCTTAATAAGACAATTAACGCATAAGAAGCCCACACGTAAACATTGATAACAAATTCTTTATAAATATATACATGCAATGTTCAAGAAAAGGCGTTGATATATATATATAAAAGACATGTTCCTTTTTTACACATAGATGACATTAGTACCATTTTGCTATCGCATTAGTCACCGTATTGGGGTAGTGTGTGCATTAAAATGTTTCCTACCAACACACTGAAGCAAGTTCTCTGTGAATGTCCTCAGAACTTTTCTACTGTTATCCATCGCAGACGAGTAACACTCCTCCCCATTGTACACTGATCCCAAATGATCGCGTTGACTTGTCATCACCTCTCAGAAAGTACCAGGTATTTATGGTAATCAATATATCTGTAATATAACTACATTGTATTTACGACATTTGATACTCATATTACCTTGCAAAAACATACACGGTACTTACTGTGTATCGGATAACCTTCTTCCGGTTTTCGCTGGAACCCTAAGAGAGGTACTCATAGTAACTTTGGTTTGGGTTGTACACACTATTGAGTTTGGAGGGCTGAATGACAATCGATACCGGGAATCAGTCGAGTGATAAGAATTCGTACCACACAAGCTTTGGGATCAGCGGCTGATACATTGAGCAAAAGATGTTTCAGTGTATTTCGTTTCAAAGAGGTTACAAAGTGCCACTTGACCATGATCGTTTGATCATTGTCGGAAACTTGGTCAATTTATAAGAAATAATGAAAACATTACCAGCGAACAGACAGAAGAACGACTTAGAAGTAATATGTGTTCAATGTCCTGAGTGTATAAAAACTGTTTTATACTGCATGTCGATTGACTTCCTACAGAAATAACAGGTATGTGGGTAAATAAAAGGCAAAATCCGTACATCATTTTTCATTTGTAAATACATATAGAGCATGACATATGATATGATCTAGAAACGTACACAACTGTAAGCTTATGGTTTATAGTATTGACCTTGTGTCTAGACTTTACGTCACCCCATCTTTCAGGTAAATCTCGAAAGCAGAACCGCATAACTAGATCAGCATTATTGTGAAATTTGTACTTTTTAATTCGGCCTAATAGTTTTAAGTTTTGAGAACCAACGATGAAACAGCTTTAATTTCAGGTGATCATTTACACGAAAGGTCAAATGCGATAACAAGGATGTAGATGTGATTGAAGGATAGAGATCATCCTTTATCGAAAAGCATGGACATGAGCATATCTGCTACTTATAATGCCAGGTACACCTAAAATATCATTAACTTCCCGGTTTGGAGAGGTTTTTTTTAAGTATATTGAGGCCTTTACCTGTATAATTACCGGGCTTTCGAGATACAGACATATTTCCACATGGCTTCTAAAAATCTTATACAACAGTGGTTCATTTCCCTGCAATGAACCACTCCATAAGCACGGTTCATTTAAAGACAGTGGCAGAGCAGTGCAGCAATCACACTTACCTTATACCTGTCTGTTGCATATATGTGGTGAAAGAGCCTAGACGACACTACCGGCAAGCTAGTTAATCCCAAAGAACTTTAAGGCGCATGCGCTAAACTCTTCCTGTGCGTAGTCGGGAAAGCAGAGGTAGTAAACCGTAGCACATGTATCGTCCATAAAAGTAAGACATGCTTGTTGTGTATCTCAATCCTTCCATTTTCAAAGCGTTTCAGGTTTACATGTTAAGGGTCCTTGTACCACTGCCAAAAATTGTGAGTAAACAATGGAAGCTGATTTTTGCCAGACTGACTTATAAATCACATAAATTCCGGAAAATTCAAGAAAAAAGAACAAATGCAACAGCAGTGCTCTGCTTGAAAACAGCGGACCTGCCGGAATTCGACTTCTGGTGCTCAGATTCTTATACTGCCGCTCTAACCGACTGAGCAATATGATCAACGAAGTATCCTGCCCAAACTGTGCTACAGTTATATCCAAAGCGAAATTAAAGCGGGGTTACAGCATGAACAAAAAACCAGAGTTGAATGGGACAGGGATCCTAAAGTATCATAATGCTTACTGATGCGAGATACGGGTGTGTGGTTTGTATAGGCTCACCGGGTTTGAAGGTAAAATTCCACACAACACCAGTCATCATTGAAGTTTTTCTTCATGCTTCTAAATATATCCGCTGATGGCTCATGTACATGTGATAATAAGCAACAATGAAACGTTGATCTGTCTTCGTCAACATTAAGGATAACTTTATCTCGATGTATGGAGGTTGATTTTCCATGATCGGCGCCCTACCTGCGTTTATATCATTGTTTGTTTGTGACCGTAACAGAATGATGTTCCTGTGTAGAAATATATATCGTCGGTACTATCGCAAACAATTTGGATAGAAAGCCTAAGAAACTGTTGGTTCATGTCAGTTTGGATTGAGGGACCTGAGAGTAAGAAACAATGTCTTAAGTATTTACGAGGTCTTCTTTGCTTATTTAGTTCTCTAACCCAGTGCAACGTACCTGCGGAGAAATAGTGAAATGGCAACGTTTGAAACTCGTTTCGGGTCATCGGTTCGAATTCGCATGGCAGTTTCGACATATGGCAACTTATTATAGTTTGAGTAATTTTCGACTGCGATTCGAACGCTACCTGGTCTATATTGGTTCAATTAACTATCACTAGTTCTCAATGACATGGCTTACAGCCGCACTTTTGGTTTAAGCCTTTGCTTTACCACGACTCTCTGCGTTATTTTTCTGCACTTTTGTCCTCTACCTCTTAGCTGGACAATTATCAGCATATGGTTAGCTCACAAGGAGCAACAATAAAAAATGGCTGGCAACAGGTAAACTGTATTAATTGCAGCTAGGTAATAGTAGGAAAGAAGTAAGTATATAACTGTTCGTATGTTTTTCATTTGATACTATCATAAATATTGTTTAAGCACTTATGTTTTATAGGCATAAATTCGAAATTAACACATACTGAAATTAAAGGAGCGAAACACACGGTTTGTTTAGAAGATATCTCGCAGTACAGTAGAAATGACCTAATCCTAACAGTAAAGGACATGTCTCAGATACATGTAAACATGGATAGCGGATTCATCCTGCATCATTCACAACACAACTTCATAATATGTATATCTTGGGGGTATATCCCATAAATTATGAAGCCCAAATACTCCATTTCATCATGTATATGCAAATTTTAGTTGTGATTTGTTTTTAAATTTTGATACATGTAATATTGCAGGGGTTATTCATTGTACAAAAATATCACATGTGGCCACCGTACGCTACTGTACACTGCTACCTAAGAATAAAGTCATCAACTTGTTTTGAATGACGTCATATCAACGTGTTTTATCCGCGTCTATCACTGTTTTAATTTCTTTTCCTTCTCTAAGGTACGTTTGTGTCAAACATTACTATGAATGATTTATGTAAAATCCAAAAATGTAAGCAAAGCATTATGATATATTAGACGAGACAAAACTAACAAAATCGTTTTTCAGTTTCCTTGAATGAAATGTCGACAAAACATACTGCAAACATACTTATTTTAGCGGTAATCGTATTTTAGCAATTGTTGAATGAAAACAAAAGCGATGAAATGTGATAACCAATGAATGTATAATAACTAGAGACATGCATGGTATAGCTTTATGTATTATTATACTGGGTAAGGAAACGTATACCTAGGCAAGCCTGCAAATAATTCAAAAATACTCGAAATCACATTTTCCCATTTTAAACATACAATGTACTGACACCATCGGAAAACAAAAATGACAAACAATCATGCCACGTTTTAAAAGCCTAACATTTAGTGGGCAGGTTTGATTTGAAATTAACAATACATAAATCTCTATGTTCTAGGATAATATTCCAGTTGCAATATATTGTGGTTCAAAAGGTTTCCGTGAAAGTCAGATTAGGTTCACAGGTAGATGGTATTCATTTTTTTTTTTATTTAATTACAATATATAATTTAAATAAACCACACTATTTGCATAAAACCCGGATAGTTTATTATAAACACATAAATTAAATATTTATTGATATTATATAAATATTCAAGACCATTACGTTATTAGAACTTTCGTAAACAAGCGATATTCCACTGTTAGTATGAGTGTCAGAAAGTTTCATTTCTATTTTCGGAATATAAAGATTGTCGTTATACTAATTTCACGACGAAGATGGGGTAATGCATATATTTTAACGCTCTAAACGTTTTGCTATCACGCAAGCAGTTTTGTAAAATAAAGGACAGAACGAGGTCTTCTGCATGAGAAGATTGTGAAGCGTCTGGAAATAATCGTCAAGTATTTTGCTCTTTTCAGCTTCGGTTCGTCCTGGAGATAGTCCTGACATGAGGACATTATTCAGACAAGCCTTAGTACCCTTCAAAGATTTGTCCACACACGTTTTTCTGTCTTCAGCACCTGCATGGCCATTCGGAAAAGTTTAGGTGATAACAATGTAGACTTGTCAGTAAAGCTGAGAAAAGCACAGTTTTAAAATTCAGAAATGGCAGCTTTAGACGAAAATATTTTACTATATTCTAAAGTCAAACTCAATTGTGTACTGAACTTTTTCATTTTCAAATAACTTTATCATAACCTCAAATTTATCTTATGGTTTTTTCCGTTCATAACTACTAGATTTCAGGGAGTTGAGTTCCACTCAGTATTTACAATGTTTGGGTTTTGTATAAAAAAAATCCTATCTACAAAATAAAAAGTTCAATAAGTTTCGTCTGTAAATTATGAGAAACTCTGCTATTGCACTTCGTGTATCTTCTGCGTCCATTCTATCGGATTCAGATATGCGATCATATAGAATTTATGGAAAGAAACATTGGTCTTATATTACATAAGATATAATTTGGACGTTTGGACAACGTACATCATTAAGTTGAAGGAAGAGACGGTTTTAGGTTGTTGAAAACTGCTAATGTGACTTGAACTTATGTCTTATCAGATACTGGTTTTCCCTATCCATTGTTCATATATGTCTATTATATGCATGAAAATTTCTCGCAATCACGTTGGTCGGATCATATACACGTGACCAGTCCTCAAAAACGCATGTAGACTGGTTATCCGGTGAATATCGATTTCTAAATATAGCCTATATGCAAATTCCCATGAACCTGTCGTAGCGCATGCGCAGTTAGACCGGAACGCGATCTGGCAAGCGACATTAGAAGATGGCTTCTGGCGAACGTTTTTCCTCCGTTACATCAGAAAATGACCAAAACTATTCGAGGATAAAAATGCTGTTAACGTATAAAAGGCCATTGAACACGCAGTGCATGTCAACCATACTTATCTTAAGAAAAAGAACCTAGACGATTTCTTCGAAAGCTACGATACTGAATTGCTGAATTCAAACATGGCTAAATTTTACACGGAGGCTTGCGTACAAAAATCAGAGCCATGAGGTGTTTTTTTGTTTTATTTTATTGTTGAAGCATATAACAAGACATTTTTGGGCTTTTGTGCTGGTAAAGCCAGCACAAAAGTCCACAATTGTATAATATTATTGCATTGGTGACGTTACCTATTGGGACATGTCAATAATCCAACTTCGACCTCAAACAATCTGCCGAATGCAGCTAATTAAACTGGACTGATAACATACACGATGGACGTGCCATGTAAAGCAACAGGTTAGCCGAAAGCAATGGTTCATATTTATAATGGTTAATACAAGTGTAAAATGTCTAATAGCATTTAATAATTCTTCTGACGTTTTACATGATCATTGGAACTGGCTGTACATGGTTTGGTGACACTTATATAATATAAAGCATGTTCCCTATCAAATTAGTTGCGATGTTGATAAAATGCGTTGGTTTGCCGTCACATACACGTAAAGCATTTAAAACAGTAATGTTTCATGGATTCTGTGTATTCGAATTCCTTAATATATCATCAGAGTTATTGGCAAAGTATTTGTCTGTCAAACGTCATATTTTGTATTTAAATATCCGCTTCCAAAAAAACCCATTATGTCTTGCAGCTAAGGAATATCATTTCTTTTAATTATTTGATTTCTCCAGCATGTTGATAAATGTAAACTACACTGGGTGGGGCCCCGGGATCTATTCTCTTAAACAAATAGTGTCCTCTCGTAGGAGGGCTTTCATACACCTCACTCACTTTTATTCGCTATCCGTTTATAAGCTGAATTGATGTCATGTAATTATTTTTTATTTTTGTGTTATTTATTTCAATTATTAGAGGGAGTGTTTCATTTTACCTTGTCGGAGTTCCTTGGCTCGACAAGATAGGAACTGTTTCCAGTCAGTCTGCCATTGATGTCGAAATGCTTTCAGTTCTTCTTTGTCACTGTCCATCTGGAATATCCCGCCCCGGATATGGCACGGTCTTTAAATCATACAATCAATTAAAACGACTCATTACAGAAAGTCGAAAACGTTCGTCGAACGGGAAGTGCTGTAATATTCACTGAATGAAATAAATAATCCAAACTGTACGCTTGACATAAAATGATTTTTTTTATTATACAACAAATATGAAATAGATAAAACAAACTTATGTTAATCATTATTGGTTTGAT